CCATCTAGCGATATGCTGCCAAATGAAAATTATAAACTTTTGTTGAGAAAAAGATGTGATGGAATAATATCATATAAAATAAGTTCATACTCCAAAAATAAATATTTGACGTACCATATAGACAAAGAGTCGATGGCAATTTTTGTGTCCTTGAGATTCCCAGTCATCACAATTAAAATCTTATAATACCAATTCTCCAAGCTGTTTTTGATTAAAAAATCTACCGTAAGAAGTTGTGTTTCCATCCGTAAACCAAACAGAGTTTGCAACAAAAGTGGCGTTTAACTAAAACAGTACCAAAGCATGACTCCGGAGGAGGCAGAGAGCTTAGCAAAATCCCATAGTCCGGTGAAAGCTTCGATGGAGAAACCGGTCCAAGTGAGCGGACAACCGCCACAAGTGGCATAACTAAATAATAGGAAGACACAGAGCCACCATGCCACGTTAACAGTAGCCATGGTTCCTATGACTCCGAGTTTAAGACCGTACACAAATAGCAAGCACACAAATATGTGAACTACAAGTGCCACTCCAGCAGAAATTGCAATCACCTGGTGGTAATGTACGAGAAAAGTAACCAAATTAACACCATCCAGAAACTATTCACTTGTTAGATTTTGTATTATACTGTTATCAATAATTGTTTATACATGTGTTACTGAAAAGTAACCATTTATATTTTATGTGTCCCAAAATATTTTGAGTAACATGTTTTAAGGCTTTTGACTTTTGAATGGAGCGTTTGGGGCCCTTTTTCGCTTACCATTCACAAATAGAGCAGTCTAGTCCACAACAACACTTAAACTATAGATTTTTGAAATCTTAAGTTACGTACGTACCATATTCTTGAGCTGGCATTGGAGGAATCGATTGAGAGGGAAAAAGAAGACAAATGAAAAATGGACAGGAATGACCCAAACGGCGATAACACCGGACAGCTCTGCGATGTCGTCAGGCTGGCCCAAGAACTTAAGAATTGGAGAAGCAAAGATGTACATAGGGAGGAGCAAGATTGCACATAACGACAGAACAATCCAAGATCGCTGCAAATACACTCCCATCATCTCATGCTCCTTTGCTCCAAACGCTTGTCCACACAGCGTTTCCAACGCACTCGCCATTCCAAGCTGCACATATATTCTCTACATTAATATATATAAGTGATCAAGAGAACTTAAATAAATGTTTGTGTCTATGTGCATGTATACGAGGAGGCTGAAGTTGAAGCCGATGATGAGGTTGTTGACAATGGAGATGGCGGCGAGTTCAAGCTCGCCGAGGTGGCCGGCGAAGGCCTGAGTGATGACGAGGATCGAGTAAGTGGAGAGTCTGGTGAATATAGCTGGTCCAAGGATACGCCATAGCATCTTCGTCTCCATCCATACTTTTCTCTTTATTTCTCCGCCTTCTTCCTCCTCCTCCGTCGCATTTAGATCCCTTAACAGAGGTATTCTCATCTTCTCTACACCTTCCGCTTCCTCGTCTTGGTCTCCCATGGCCAATCTTCTGTGAATAAAAAAATAAAGAGAGTATAACTATATATACTAATACTACTATACGTGAAACATGTGATGATGATGATATATAGGCCAAGTAAAGACGCCAAGACTTGTGGCACTGGCACCACTATCAGTGACGGATCTAAAAAAATCTCACTTACTCTTTACTTATTCAAGGTTTAATGTAATACCTTATCTTATACAAACTGGAGTTGATGTTCACGTGAATATATCATGTTGTATAATTACATTCATTAAATTGCGAAATGTGACATAATGTGTCAAAAGTTTTTGTGTTTGTATTTATTTATCTTTATGTTAGGTGATTTATAGCAAAAAGTTTACAAGTTAATGACAAAACGAATACAATAAATAAGCCATGGTTGGTGGAGCAGGTGGTCTTTGAATGCGACCCAACTTCTGCTCTCTCTAAAGCTAGGACATAGAATGAGTACAACAACTGATAAATCGAATCCAGAAATAATAATGCAAAAGGCAGCGTTGACGATTCTGATTTGGTTTTCGATAATAGCAAAAGCACGATTCTGATATGGTTTACTAAAATTCTTAATGACTGAAACAGTGAAACCTCTTGGCATAACGTAAAATTCACTTTCAACAAAACTCCATAAACCAAATTAATTGAACAACGTAAATGATTTTCTCAGTTGAAATGTCAAAGTTTGATGAACAAAGTCATGAGAAAATCAAAGATTTTTTTGTTTGTTTCAACTCTCATCCATTGCATCCTTTGATTGCGTTGAAACCGAGTCCTCAAGTGCCTCAAGGAATGAGTCAACTGTGAACTTATCTGCAATAAGAGTTTACACGGTTCATTGTAAAAACGAGACAGCAAAAACACATTAATGCCTTTGGAAATTCTATTGCAAGAGACTGACTCACATTTACTTGGATCGATACCAAACTGAGTCAAATCAATTTGTCCTGTGCGAAGTACCTAAAGAGAGATCAAAAGTTGAGTCAGAGTAATCGAGTTAAGAACGGGAACAACATTGTCACTGAGGGCTTACATAGGTAAATGCATCTACTTGTTGACGAAAAGGAGGGCTCTGCAACAACTCCAATATATCTTCTGCCCTACTGTGACCCTGCGATTAAGTCCTTCGGGTTATTCTAGTTACTTCCACCAAATTCACAACTTGACTCGGTTTCTTCTATCACCTTTTTCAGAAGATAGAGCACATACCTCAGGTAAATGCGCAGACAGTCGTTCTTGTACAGGTAACATCTCAAGCAATGGCATAATCAACTCCGGCTTCAAGATATCCCCTAACACTAGGCCTTCAAAAGATGGAACATGAGAGGACGATGTGGTAAATGTTAGACAAAGGCAGAGAAAACGAACAATAACAGCTGAAAACAAACGAGCATTGCCATCTCCAAGCCATACAGAAGTTAATACTACATATGTTCGTACTGAGCAAACAGAAAATTGAAAATATTTACCTTCGTCTTCAGCAATACCTGAAACAATAACACCGTACCTGAATGAGTATAAGAGGGAAACCAGAAAAGCTTATTGACAGGAGGGTTACCAAAAGATAGAGAGTTTATACCTACAGGGCCACCAGAGATGTTGTTCAGAATTCTTTGCAGGTCCACCAGCTTAACTGGTCCAGACGAAGATGACACATCACTCACCTCCGTAGACAAATTTGGCACAACCAAGTTTCCAGCTCTATGAAAATTTTAAAATAAATCCAAATAAGCCATTGCGTTTCAAATAAGCTAATATACCATTACAGCATAAAACTAGTGTTCTTTCACATGCTACTCAACTCAAAACCAAAAATTTTCACACTATTAAAACAAAAATTTGGTAACCGATTCTTTATATGATTCTCATCATCACAGAGAAGCTGATAGCCTTTAGCAGTAACATCTATAGGATGCCACATAAGAAAAACCGCATGGCCATATCTGTTTCATGAAACTGACAACAAAGCAATCAACCCATTTCTAAAGATAAGGCAGTGTTCTTTAGGAAATGGATACAAAACTAACAGTCAAGCTAGCACTTTGATATGAATCAGTACCTAGATGAAACATCATCTTCTGCCATGTCATCCACATCCACAGGGACAGGAGCTTCATGTCCTTCTTCAAGAAACTCTGGTGCAGAGGAAACTTTTATTAGATTGATTCAACCTTGTCTTGTTATTCAAGTGACCAAACATTCAGTGGACCACTATGAAGGACGTGTTATACACAGAAAAATGATGAAAAACTAACACTTTACACGCTCATATGCAAATGAATGCATTCCTCGTGACAGTATAAAGCAAAGAGGCTACAATGTTAGGGTCCATATGTGACAAGAAAAGTATTTGACACATTGTGTGCTAAAAAAAATGCTACCTCCCCACTTTAAACTTTTACTGATACATGAACAAACAATAACAAGGAAGGAATTAAGCGTATAATTGCATGTCTGATCTTTCATTTCCTTAAAACTTCTTTCCGATTCTGTCACCAGCGGCCTTAGACTAATTTTGAGTCAGAATCGAGTTCATTAACGTGATTTATTGAATTGGTTCTTGACACATTTGGACTCTGTTATATTATTATGAGGTTCTTTCATTATGTTGTAATGTTTTTCTTTTTACGGCCTAGGCCATTGCCTAGTGCCTAAAGTGTTATTGAACAATAATTTAACATCTGGATGAACAAGTAAACCCTGAAACTTAATTCATCTTGATGATGGAAAAGATTGCATGAACTAATGAAAAGAAATTATGGTTCATGTTCTATGGAAAGAGAAGCTCCTTATATAAATCGTACCAAGCATTAATTCCCAAATTCGTTTGACACATAAAACGCCCCCAAAAAATATTCAAAAGATAAGAAAGCTAGTTCGCTGATCACGTAAGTTGGAAGGTTAAACAGCACGAAAGACACTGGTTCCGACATAACATTCACATCCTAGACTGTTTGTAACAAGGTAGGAAAGTTACATGCCTATTGGTTGATTTAGGTATTGATTGACCGCAGTGCAGAGCGTTGCATCACCTTCAGCTCCCGGCTCCTACAAACAAAAAAGAGTTGCCAGAAACAAATAAGATCAAAAATCGACAATGCATCAAGATGAAAGGGATTAGTTGAACAAAAATACACACACATATCAAGAAAGAAACAAGCTAATAAGTGACCTGCATCCAGAAGAATAACTTGCGGTCATCACTGTTGAACTTCAGAATATACACCCTGTCTGATGATTGATTAACCTAAACAGAAATGAGTACGCTGTGGTCACAATCTGAAATTAGTGCTTGACATGCTAGTTACCTCAACTCAACGGGCATACCTTTTCAAACAGAGCTTCATCGGGGAAAACAATTTGATCCTAAAATGGTATCGTCAAGGAGAAAACTTCATAAATGGAACAACTAGTATTATTTCCTGAATTTGTTATATTCAGGCATGACAAAAAAAGGACCTCCTAGATGGATCAAGCTAAGAAAGTTGGGACACAAATCCACTGGCCTAGAAAGACTTGAAACTTGGAGAACCTTTAATATATTTTTAAATTTTAAAAAGAGGAATGCTGAGGATACATCTTCCACTGAATTCTGGATTCGATCAATCCACTGGAAATGAATCAGTCCCTCATAACCCTAAAAGAGAGAATTAGAGGAAGAAAAAAAGATCAGATATAATTTTGCAGAGAACCAGTGACATAGGCATTCTGACACCAAACACTATACTCTGAGATGCTTTAGTAGCAACAATACAATAGTACCACTGAAAAAGCTAATAAACTCCAAATTTCAGTGGAACAGAATTCAACAGGAATAACTGATGGAAAAGAAGAAAGTGGAGATTACTCTAGCAATGCGGACAAGTCCTTTTCGTGTATCGGGGACGACTCTTGTTCCCTGCAAAGACATCTTACCAGCACGAAACTCAAGCATGACTTCCTGCCAAAATAAGTCCGAACGTAAGAGGAAGAACTTTTGTAGCATGATAAAAACGTTAAAAAAGGGATCTGATCAGCTTAATATGAAGTGTTAGATGAAATTTTAGAAATTATCGTAGCGATTACATAAAAGTATGGCAATTCCATGGAAAGCATCGATCATTCAGATAAAGACAAAAAATCAAAGTTGATGAAGAAAAAGGAGCTTATAAGTAGCAACAATCTGATGAAATTTCAAGTTACCTGCATCGCGGGAATCGCTTCGCCAGAACTCATATCACAACCTCGTTCTAGAAAGTAGTAGAGTGGAGATACTCTTTCAATTGTTTGAAAGCGTCTTCGCATTTTGTCCCACTCGAACTTCTTGTTTGATCGAAGCAATTGGTAGAAGGGGAGACATTGTCGGTTGAGCGCGAGATGAATCTGTTCAATGCGGCGATACGTCCGGTGAGTCTTTGGATTTCTTTGGAGGATGTCGGCGATGGGAGGTCGAGGATCGCCGAGATCTGCTTCGGGTTTGCCTCTATCCCGCGTTGGGTCACAACATACCGAGGAATTCTCCCGAGGTAACGGCGAATGTGCATTTTGCGGGGTTCAGCTTCATCCCGTACTTCTCCAAGATTCGGAAACATTCGTCGAGGTGCTTGACGTGATCGTGCCTGGCAGATTTGACTAGCATGTCGTCGATATAGACTTCCATGCTACTACCGAGCTGGTCCGCGAACATTTTGTTCACTAATCGTTGATAAGTGGCGCCGGCGTTCTTCAGGCCGAAGGCATCACTTTATAGCAATAGGTAATGAATGCTGTCTTCTCGCGATCATCGGGATGCATGAAGATCTGATTGTATCCTGAAAAGGCGTCCATGAAGGATAGTAATTCATTCCCTGCCGTGGCCTCGACGAGGCGATCGATATGCGGTAAAGGGAAGCTATCCTTTGGGCATGCTTTATTCAGGTCTGTGAAATCGACGCAGACTCTCCACTTTCCGTTTTTCTTTTTGACGACGACTGGATTTGCTAGCCATTCGGGGTATTTTACTTCAGTGATCGATCCGGCTCTAAGTAGCTTTTCCACTTCTTCATTGACTGCTTGAGCTTTATCGGCGCCGAGCTTGCGTCTTTTCTGTCTCATGGGTTTGTAGGTAGAGTCCACGTTTAGCTCGTGGGATGTGATTGCCGGGTCGATCCCTTTCATATCTGCCATTGACCATGCGAAAAGGTGCACGTTCTGTTTGAGCAATATGACCAGTTGCTCTTTTATCTTTTCGTCGAGGTCGCCACCGATGCCAACGCACCTTTCCGGACGCGATTCGTCGATATTCACCTCGTCGACGAGGGCCGGCTTTGGTCTCTGGTGGTATGGAAGGCGTGGATCCATTTCCTCGTTTGCGGTGCATGTTGCTGCTAGGCGGAGCCGTCGCTCATAGAGGAAGCATGACCTTGCTGCCCCTTGATTCCCTCTCAGTGTGTAAATTCCTGATTGTGCCGGGAATTTCACACATTGGTGAAAGGTCGAGACGACGGCCTTCATCTCGTGGAGCCATGGGGTGCCCAAAATGGCGTTGTAAATGGCTGGTTTATCGATGACGAAGAATTTGGCGGCTTTGGTTGTTCCGCCGACGTGGATAGGTAGGCGGATCGTGCCTTCACTGGAGACGTGTTCGGAGGTGAACCCGGTGAGGGAGTACAACGAACGCTTGATCTGGTCTCTGCTGATTTCCATGCGGTTGAGGGTCTCTTTGTAGATTAGATTCACCGTGCTCCCGGTATCGATCAGGATTCTTGCTACGCTGGAGTCACTGATGTGCAAGCTGACCACGAGTGGGTCGACGTGAGGGGTATCCAGCCCCGCCGTATCTTGATCCGTGAAGATGATAGTGGGGATTTCTTCGCGGGTCGGGTTGCGATCGTGCTCCACCGCTGCGTATTCATGCTCCGTGATTGTCGAGATGGAATCGCGATGGATGGGGTTGCTCATTATCATGTTAATCTCTTGCCCTGATTCGTCGGAGTAGTTCGTTATGTCATCCGGCGTGTTTTCCGGGATTACGGGTTGTGCCGGCTTTCGTCTGTGACGAGAGCGGTCCCCTTTTATCGGTGGTAGTTCCCCGTGCTGGTATCTCCGAAGGAGATCGCGAGTTAGGCGTCGGCAGTTTCTTGTAGAGTGGTCACCGGTTCCGTGGAGGCGGCAAAACGTGTCAGAGTCGTCGAGATCGGGCGTCGCGACATCTGTTGCCCGTTTCTTGATGTGATGCGGTTCCTGCTCGGGCTGTTGTCGGCTGCTGCGAACGCCGTTAGGAGTGATCTTTTTGGATTATATCTTTTCGTGTCCCATGGGTTCCTCTCTGGGTTTCGACGAGGTTGCCCTCCTATCTCCATGCTTCTCGGCGTAGAAGCGCTGGTCTTCCTCGAGGAAGATGTAGTTCCGAGAGCGGTGGAACGCGTCCTCCAGAGTCGCAGGGGGTTTTAGTGACAAATCCTCCTTAAACTTGGAGTCGTACCAGAGGCCGTTGCGGAGTGCTTCCAGCGGGACGCTATCGGGCATGTCGCCAGTGTCGCGAGCTGCTTGTTTGAACCTTTCCATAAAGCTGCGCAATGGTTCGCCTTGGGTTTGCGTCGTGGTGAACATGTTCATGTTCCGAGTGATTCGGGTCATGTGCATGGAGTAATGCTTCAGAAAAGCATTGGTTAGGTCGTCGAAGTTATCGATCGACTCGGCGGGGAGGTTAGAGAACCAGGTCAAGGCATCTTTCGCCATGTGCTCGACGACAGTAGTTGGCCTCCCTTTCATCGTAAGATTTGTATTTCTCCCTCCTCATGGCGAGGTTGAACGCGGTTAGCCACTTCTTGGGGTCTTCTTCGCCGGTGTAAGAGTCGATTTTGAGTCGAACTCTTTCGTGTAGCTCAATCTGGCGGAGCCTGCGGGTGAGCGGGCTTCTTCGGGTGTCGGCGAGTGCTTTCGTCAATTCCGGAGCTGAGCTGGTGGCGCGATGAACTTTCGAATCGACCTCGTCGAGGCGACGATTCATCCGTTCGAGTTCTTGGGTGGTAAGTCGCCTGAAGTGCGCGGACGGGGTTGTTCCGTCAGTGGGACTTGACGGATCTTCATCGTCTTCTCGTGCTAGGGCTTCCACCTGTTCCTGAGTCTTTTTCTGCTGTGCTCGCATTGACTCGAAACCGTCGGCGAGTGGCTTGACGAGATTCTCCATGAGTTTGAGGATCTTCTCGCTCGAGGAGGATTTCTTCGAGCTGCGGGGTTTGTCGCTCGAGGAAGATTTTCTCGAGCGGCGTGGTGCGGACGGAGGGGGCTCTCGTCCTTTCTTGGCGGAGGAGATCGTTGCGGCGAAGTCGATCTTCGCGGCGAGACGGATCTCTGTGGCGAGAAAGATGGGTTTCTTGTAGGGAGCAGGCTTGTCCCTACCTTCAGCGGGTAGCGACTTGTCTATCGTGCTGGTAGACTGTCGCTTAAGTTTTCTTCTGAGGGAGACGGGCTCCCGGTGGGAGTGTTCTCTTTCGAGTTACCATCGTTGCTAGTTCGTGAAAATCTAGATATCTTCGAGATGAATAGCGAGAAGCGTTTCCAGCCCCACGGTGGGCGCCAATTGTTGAATCCGAGATAGCACTCGTCAAGACGGGCTATCTAAGATGTGAGTTTAGGAAACTGGAACGCTTAATTCGACTCTTAGATTATCAAGAAGTTACAAGAGAGCAATCTCGCTAACAAGCCTAGCGAGATTATGGTGATGAACAAGAGGATAGAGTAAAAGCTAATGTGAAGCCTAGTGATTCTAGATGATTTCGGATCCCTCTCCCCAATGGGGGGTCTTCAATATATAGTGTTGATAAGTCGGCCGAATGATGAATATTCTCCTTCAGGCGAGATGGAAAACTTCCTCTTTTGCGATATGGAAAATTCCCTCTTGTTTTTGGATCTTTTCCATTCTTTAAGTCGGCATGAAGATTTATTTACATTTCTCCATGGATTGTGCCTTTCTCTTCAAGTCTTGCCTTTTTCTTGAAGATGTTAGGCCTAAAATCGGATTGGGCTTTGTGACTTTACTAATGATGACGGGCTCAGGGAAATGTGCTAATTTCTCCTCTAACATCATACTATTATTTGCAAAGTCAGAATTTCGAATGGAGGCACCACGTTAACTCTCAGCCACGAATTACATAACTACCCTTAATGAAAATCTTTATTAAATCTTTCAATTTGCTTATTATCTTATTTAAAAACGAATTTATTTTATTTTTTAAAAAGACGTCAATTTGGATATTTACATAAATTATTTTTGGATATATACCACATACCTAACATATTTCGCGCCACATTTATGGAAAAAAATTAAAAAAAAAAAGTAAAAGATAAAAAACGTCAATTTGGATATTTACATAAATTATTTTTGGATATATACCACATACCTAATTTATGGAAAAAAATTAAAAAAAAAAGTAAAAGATAAAAAATTGGAAAACCTAGGTTTGTTTTACGATTCTTTCTTATATATAGGGATAGCTACAAGCATAATCAACCCAATTCTCATTACTATTTGCATCTCTTCTTTCTATACGTAATTTTAGTTCTTAGGTCTCATATATTTTCTTCTCATGCATCTTTATGGTTTTACTTTGATTTAAGTTCTATTTACTGTAATAATGATTAACTTCTTCTTCTCTCGCTTTTGTTACAGTTAGTTCCAAGCTAATGGGAAAAGAGAACCTTTTATAGTCAAACCTTTTATTGTTCATTATAAAAATACATCTATTTATGTTGAAGCGTGGCCAAAAAAGCAGATGGCAAAGGACGAAAAAAACAATGTAAAACAGGAAAAGAAGCGAGTGTCTTTTATATGGTCTTAATTTTGTGTTCTATGGACCAATTATTAATTGACAAGAGAAATTACAGAAAGCGGCCTTGAAAGCAGAAGGAGCTGAGCGTGCTAGGAAAAGAAAAGCAAAAATTGGAAACTAGATAGTTAGCCTTCCAATTTATCGTTTCATATATTGATGTTGGATTGATTGAAACTAAAGGATTCATTATAGGGGTTCTTCTTAGAAAAGAGTCCATCCATGGATCATTCGCAATTTTTTGTAAAGGGTGTATGGACTCTTGCTGAGCTATATATTGTTGTAGAAGTTTTACGAAAGAGAATTTATTATAATTGTTTATGTTTTTGACTCTCTTCAATGATTGTTACGATTGTTTCTGTTTTTGTGAGAGCCTCACGAAAACGTTAAGCACTTCTCTGTTTGTTCAGCTGTGAATCTCGATCATGGTTTCTCCGTGATTACCAACTACAAGTTAGTGTTCAAGTTTCACTTTCATGTTCACCGTCTCCACACACTCTATCATCATAAACATAACCACAACTGCCATTATTCCGAAATATTGCTGTGTCGCAATCAGGGTGAGACTGATTCGTGAGGTTCAATTAATGCTCTTGAGACTCTTAAAATAGGCTAAAGACGAGTACCATTCACACATTCCGATTACTATTTCTTGCCATGTTAATTAGTTTAGGCATGTTCAGAAAATAATCTTTATATCCACTATAACTCTATAAGGCATCTCTATCTATCGTTAGCTAAATAAGGTTTGGTGTATATAACACTTGCTATTTCTCTTGAGGCTCGGAGCGATCATGGATGTTTGATTTTTTAGTAATGGTTTAATATTATATATAATAAAATTAGGAGATAAACAAGAAGAAAATGACAAGGGATAACAAAAAGAAGAAAAAGAGATTATTGGAGAATAAATAAAAGGGAGTAAAAGTCTGGAGAAGAAGAAGTTGAAGAACAAAACTAATAAAAGGGGAATACTTTTTTATCTCTCTAACCGAATGAAGAAACTGAGTAGAAGAAAAAGACTAGACACGTAGAAATTAGAAGATTGAGAAGTTAGAGAAGACAAAACACATAATGTAATCATCATATTTAATGTTTGGTAGGGGTTAGAGTGTACAGTTTATTGAAAGATTTATAATATGAGATTAAATCAGAAAATAAAAAGATGACGATGAAGAGAGAGAGGAAAAGAAAAAAGATTAGAAAGTTTGATAAGAATAAAAAAAAAACAAACGGTAGAAAATGAATGAACAAAAATATGAAAGAAGTAAAAGAAGAAGAAGATAAAATGGGATTGGGGTTTATGATGTACGGTTTATATTGATGGGCGTAAGGTTTAGTTTTAGATTCATTTAAATTTTTTTGAATACACTACCTTACTGATCGAAAACGAAACAAAAAACTTCTTTTAAGACAAAAATAAATATAAAATTCAATCCAGAACTAATTTGTAAAATGTGGAGTTTGGGTGTACGGTTTGGAGTGGGGGAGGTTATATTGTGGGGTTTGGGTTTAGGGTGTAGGATTGTTCGAGGGGGGGGAGTGTGGAGTGTGGTGGTGGTGTTACTGTGGGATTTGGGTTTAGGGTTTAGGATTTATATATTATGAAATAGGGTTTAGTTTTTGGTGCATTCTTAAAAATTTTGAATTATTATGTACTACATTTCTAAATTACATTCACAAATAGAAAAAACTAAAATAATTAAAACAAATCAGAATAAAAAAATAACAAAACCAATAGATTTTTAAAAGATCTCGACTATCTAATGATAAAAACTCTTTTAAAAATCTTTGAAAATATAAACTATCGAATGAAGTGATAGGTGAAATACAAGACGTATAAAAGAACGAATAATAACAATGAGTAAAAGAAAAGAAGACGGTGAAAAAAAAGATGGAAAATTTGGAGAAGAAAAAGAAAACTCGAACATGAGGAAATAAAAATCAAAGAAGAAAAGATGGATGTGAAGAGAAAAAAAAAGACAAAGAAGAGATCAATAAAAACTAGAATAATATGATGTGGTAGAGAGAGGAGGAATGAGGAAGAAGAAAAATCGGAAAAAGAATGTAAAGAAAATTAGAAAATAATAATAAAAATAGTGAGTTAGAGAATATAAAGACATCACAAGAAAATATTGAAAAACAACAATTGAGAAAATAAGAAGAAGAAAAACATAATGAGAATGAATACAAAATTGAAAGAAAAATAAGAAAATTGAATAATTAGAGAAGAATAATAGGGAGAAGAAAACAAGAAGTGAAAAATATTTTGTATCTCTTTAAGAAAATAAAGAAGATTATGCAAAAGAATGAGAGAAAAAAAAGACAAAAGTAAAACACACTCAGATTAGAAAAATAAAAAGTCGGCGAAAACATAAACGATGAATACAATCATAAATTATACTACTTATATTATTAAAATCTTTGTACTCGCACAAAGTGCGGGACTACAAGGTGCACAAGGCTCCATTTTTTGTGGGGTTATTGTAGGGTTAGAGTTTAGAAGGTAGGGTTTATATTGGTGGGTGTAGGGTTTAATTTTTTGTGCACTTTTAAATCTGTAGTTCTTGAAAATTCTAATGAAAAATGAAATAGGAAAACAACTAAATTTTTTAATCTTTTGTTCAAATCATATCGATTAAATAATAACATTTGAAATTCTTAAAATATCATATGAAATTTTGTGCAACAACAACAATTACACCAAATTAAGCAAAAATATTTAATTCAAATAAAAAACATTTGTCTATTATGTGGTTATGGTGTATGGGGGAGAGGGTGAGGTGTTTATTGTAGGGTTAGGGTTTAGAATGTGGGGTTTATATTGGTGGGAGTAGGGTTTATTTTTTGGTGCATTTTTTTAAATCCTTAGTTCTTGAAAATTATAATGAAAAGAGAAATAGCAAAACAACTTAATTTTTTAATCTTTTGTTCAAATCATATCGATTAAATAAAAACCTTGCGTATTTAATTATAAAATTTAAAATTATGATATTTTATCCAATAATATAAATAAAACATATCAAATACGATAAATAAAATTGAGAATAATATAACAAAAAATAAAGGAAAATAATCATTAAAAAAACTTCATTAGACCATCTTCTTCATCAAGCAAACTTAGTGCTAAATATGCTTATCTAAAAGTAATTTAAGTCAATTAATATTATGAAGTTTTATAAACATTTGGTATGATTTGAATATTTAAAATATTTTAATAACCATTGATAATTTTCTGTTATTTCAGTTTTTTAGAAAAATTATTGTAACGTTTAAATTATGAAAAATATTATTTTTTGTTTATAGATATTTTTATTTTCAAAAACAACTCATGCCCGCGCAAGGCGCGGGCCAACTACCTCGTATATATATATATATACATTTTTTTTTTGGCTTTAGCTAAAGTCACAATTTTTGTATAAAGGCTAGTAATTTAAAATGTAAAAGAACAACAAAAAAAGCCCCAAATCTAATCGGAATATGCTATTATACTAAACATTTTTGACAAAATTTATCAACTTTAACTCACACAAACCGTGTAATTTTTTCTTTTTAAAACCATGACGTGTTATGATCTTGGATTAGATCAATTTGACACAATATATTTTCCGACCATTTACTTCAGTAAGTAAATGGAGAGTGTGTGGAAAGTGGAAACAAGAGGAAAGAGTTGAATTTCGTGCAAAACTATAGAATATGCCAATTTTTTATGCTGCTGTTTTACGTCCAGGATCGATGAGGTCATATTCAAATCCAACTAAGTAGAGCAAAATGCAAAGTAAAATTTTAAAATAATCCAGGCGTATTGCAAGATTCGATTTTTCTAAATCTGAACAACAAAATTCTAAACAAGACTACTTTACTTAATTTTCATACTAAGAATTTACATCAAAACACTGAAAAATCGAAATCAAAGGACGTCTCCGATCTGATCTGAGAATCCTCGGAACAAAAAAAATATATATATAAAAGGGAGATTTTGAAGAAACCCCTTTGAAGAAAAATAATCACCCAAATTCCCTAAAAAGAAAAGAAAGAGGAGAAGGCAACGAGATAAAAAACAACCCAAACTCTTCTTCTCTCTTTCTTCTTCTTCTTTTTTTTTGTTCACACAGTCAAATGAAAAATCAATGAGCTGCAGTGGCCGAGTGAAGAGGGAATGACGAAATGGAATCGGTGAGCAATGGAGATCTACAGAGCGGACAACTGAAATTGAGATGTTGGATCCAACCTTCAAGACACTGTTTATGGAACACGTGTCTGCAATCTAGCTTCCTCACTTCTTCTCCGGCCTTGAGCGTAGACAAGCACACGATGCAATCGGAGGCGGCGTTATCGGCGTACCGGTAGGAGAACAGGCGGTTGAGGTTGAGTTGGTCGGCGAGGACGACGAGGTTCGCGAGTCCTGAAGAGACGGAAGCGGAAGCTTCGTCGACGGCGGAGAGATGAGGACCGGAGGCGCAGAAGCGGTGGAGAAAAGAGCGGACGTGTTTGAACAGAGTCGCGAGGAGAGCAACGAGCATCAGAGGGATTGAATCGGAGGAAACATCCGAGAGTTGACCTTGTAAACCCATCTTCTTCTTCTTCTTCTTCTTCTAAAATCTGTGAGAGAGAGAGTGTGTGTGTTGAATTCGACTCCGATGGAAATTGAGTTTTAGGGATTTGTTTTTTTTTTTTGTTTTGGTATCTGCTCTGTTCTTTATATGGACAAAGAGCAAAGGAGAGAAAGAGAAGAGATGAATGACACAGGCCACGTGTTGTGGGACCCTCTCTTTGCTTTTTGTTAAAGCCTATCACTTTCAGTCCTTTTCATTTTTCTCTATTCTTCTCACTAATTTCATTTATTAACAAACATGCTCACACATTTTCGAATGATCACTTTTACCCTTTCCCAAATTTTTGATATATGAAAAAAAAAAAAAAAAAAGTCAAAAGCAGTTCGTGGTTGAATTCACACGGAAGTAGAGGATGATGACTCTCATTGTAAGGTAAGGTAAGCTTTAGCTACTCCGTATTCCGAAAGACCAAACGAATTTAAAGTTCTTTCAATGATTTGAGTTTTGGAACCAGAAAACAAAAAAAATGATGTCAAGGTTCTTGTGATACGTGGAATTTCATGGTAACACTCAAATGTTTATTCTTGTAAATCACATTAACTCCAAAAATTCAATCCCAGAGGTGCAACAACCAACATCACTACTTTCTGAATCTCCGGATATCACAAAATCGTATATTATTATGTTTTGTTTAAAATACATGACTACTCAACATACTTTATGAGGAAAAAAAAGTTTCTGCGCACAAAGAACAAAATAGTTTCAAACCCTAACATGAACATGAAAAAGCTCTATAGTTTTAATTCAATAATTGCAAGTTATTTGACTCTACTTGTATTTTTTCAAATCCATTACTTGAACTTGAAATACTTCATTACTTGAATATTTTGCTTTTTTTTTGTTTGTTTTTTTATACTAAACAATAAAATAAAAATTAAGCTGTATTAAATGAAATATATGAATCTGAATATTTTTCATATGGATTATGAATCATTGACAACTATTGGCAAAACCTAACGAATAATAATGGGTAAATAGTAAAGGTCAATCAGATCTACAGTCTCTCTGCTGAGTCTTACATCTCTGGTCGATCTAGATCTACACTCCGTTGGAGTCAAATTGCAGAAGCTCACTCTCCCCAATTCCTCAACCATCCTCATTTTTCACTCCTCCATCCTTCTAAGCTTTGACCATTTGAAGCTTTCTGTCCTATTCCTCGCCGGCGAAGGGACATCGGGATCTTGGATTCCCGTCATGTCAATTTGCACATCTTGTCCGGTGTTGTATAATTTTGGACTTCGTCCATGTCCGTCCACATCGAGCTCTAATTTGAAGAAGTCTCTATCAAGAAAGCTCTTCTCAACGTGTTTTAAAGCTAGTCCAACTGAAGTTGCGGCTCATTTTGACAGTAAGGTCTCACAGCTTCGTGATTTTATCCGAAGACCCAATGCCGGAATGTTTTCAGTTCTCCTTGTTTGGGAGTTGTTTAACATTTCAACCTCCTCCGTTGGCATGGAGAGATCGCTCCCACCTTCCTCTCTTTACAGAGAGAGAACTTTTCTACCTCTTCCCTTCTCCATGAGAAGCGGATTCTTCTCGGATCACACCCGAGTAAGTTCTACAACTCTCTTACCTTTTTGTTATCTTGTGTTTCTGTCTACATGGAAATTGAAGATGCAACCGGATTTGATTCATCAAAACTCGGAGGAAGAAGTTGTTTTCAACGTCACCTTTGATCTCAATGATCGTGACTAGGCTACAAAAATCCGGCCAGGCCGTGATGTATCTTCCGACGCGTTTAAGCTTTGCTTATAACCTGCTGTCACTTGAAGATTTATCTATCTTATGCTTAATTTTCTTAAGTTGTATGGTAGTATTCAAAGAGGATGTTTAATTCCCTCTGTATTGTGTAACACCCAAGCTTAATTAATAGAATTAAAGAGTTTGAACAAAAAAAAAAAAAAAAGTAAAGTCTCAACACAAATAACCAGAAGCATTCTACAGCGGGACTTAGCAAAAAAAAAAAGACAAAAAACCAAAAGAGATCCCCACTCCTCCGAATCTCTTTTGGTTTTTTGTCTTTTTTTTGGATGAGTTTCCAAGACCTCTTCATTAACTATTTTATCTTCTTTTAGTTTTGAGATCAAATAGTTAAAATTATAAGCTCATATTTCCAAGACCTCTTCATTACACGCTCATCTAGCTGTGTTGAAATAGTAAACCACGCTATCCATCCTTGTATCTCAACAGAAGTGAATAATAACCTGATCGCAGAATCCACACCAGCTGAGATCAAAACAGCTCTCTTCTCCATCAACCCAGATAAAGCTCTGGGTCCCGACGGCTTCTCTGCATCGTTTTTTCAATCCAACTGGTTAGTAATGGGACCAAAAATAATCGAAGAAGTGAAAAAAATATTTGAAGCAGGAATCATACCAAGCTCTATCAATAGTACACATGTACGGCTCATACCCAAGATCCCCAGCCCAAAAACTGTAGCAGAGTACATACCCATTACTCTATGCAATGTTTACTACAAGATATTCTCCAAGATCCTAACCAGCAGGCTACAACCTATCCTATCCACAATCATCTCTGAAAATCAAATAGCTTTTGTGCCCGGAAGAGCTATTTCAGACAACATGCTTATCACACATGAAACACCACATTACCTGAAAGGCTCGGGAGCTACGAAGCACTGCTCCATGGCCGTTAAATCATATATGAGCAAAGCCTATGACATGCTAGATTGGAGCTTCATTGTCGCACTCATGGAAAGATTGAGCTTCCTTCCCAAATGGATCAACTGGATCCTCCAATGCATATCCACAATATCCTACACCTTCCTTATCAACGGAGCAGCCCAAGGTAGAGCCATTCCACAGAGAGGCATCCGACAAGGAGACCCTCTTTCACCATTTATCTTCATACTATGTGGAGAAGTATTATCAGGACTCTGCAAAAAAGCGCAAATCAATGGATCTCTACCATGTATCAAAGTTTCAAGAGAAAACCCTAAAATAAACCACCTACTCTTTGCGGATGATACAATGTTCTTCTGTAAAACCAACCAGAAGAGTTGTGAAACCCTCTGCTCTATCCTGCAAAGATATGAAGAAACTTCAGACCAACAAATAAATCTCCTGAAATCATCTATTACTTTCTTAAGGAAAACACCGCAAGAGATACAAATCAGGGTCAAAACCTCCATAGGTATTGAAAAGGAAGGTGGACAAGGAAAATATCTAGGTCTCCCAGAGAGCTTCGGCAGGAGGAAGAAGGATCTCTTCACCCTGATTGTGGTCCGTATTCGCCAAAAATCAATTAACTACTCGTCAAAGTTCCTATCAAGCGCAAGCAACCTGATAATGCTCAAATCAGTGCTCTCGGCCATCCCCACCTATACAATGTCTTGCTTCAAACTACCTACATGACTATGCAAACTCATCCAATCAGCTCTCACAAGCTTCTGGTGGGATGCAAAACTGAATAAGAGGAAAATGTGTTAGGTTATCAGGGAGGAAACTTACCAAAGCAAAGAAACATAGAGGGCTCGGATTCAGGGAAATACAGAGCTTCAATGACGCTTTGCTGGTCAAAATCAGCTGGAAAATACTTAATAACCCATCATGCCTCCTTAGTAAAGTCCTAAAAGGAAAATATTGCAAGGAACATGACTTCCTTAATGTCCCCATCACTTCATCCACATCCACATCCCACAGTTGGAGGGGAATCTTGATTGGAAGAGACCTAATCAACACCAAACTGGGACGAGCTATTGGAAACGGTCTGTCCACTTCCCTCTGGAACAATCCTTGGCTATCCTTGGAGAACCTGTCTCGACCCATGGGACCGCCTAACCTGAGTAACAAAGGCCTTAAAGTCTCAGCCATCGTAACCGATCAAACCAGAGAATGGAACAGAGAAATGAATTATGAATTACTACCTCTATACCTATAAGAAATCCAAGCTCTCCGACCGAGTAGAAAAGGGGCCAGCGACACTTACATTTGGCTCCCAATCAAATCAGGAGTTTACATAGCAAAATCCGGCTACCACATTGCTATGGCCATGAAGGAAGACCTAAATCACCAACAAGGTCACCTATACATAATCTGAAACTCAAATATCTCGCAAACAAAAATTTCACCAAAGATGAAAGTTTTTATTTGGAAGATCTTCAAGAAGTCTTACCCATTGGTGAAAAGTGAAAACCTTCTCAACCGGGGAATCCTAGAAAGCATATGTCGTGTTCACTGCGGTGAATTGGAAACAACAGAACACCTATTTTTCCACTGTGAATTTGCTAAGGAAGTCTGAAACTTAGCCCCATTTTCTTCTCCCATAAACTCTCTCCAACTCCAAAGCTTCTCCACTACACTTACTGCCTCAAAAGCATGGCTCTGCCTCCCGCCAACGGGAGTAGGAGAAGGACCACTCTTCGCATGGATCTGCTGGGCCATCTGGAAAGCACGAAACCACCTCATCTTTGAAGATCATATTTTTTCGCATGCAGACACAATAACGAAGGCCACTGAGAAAGCAAGAGATTGACAACAAGCTCAATATACAGTCAACAAACCAAACCATAGACACAATCAAACCAACCGGAGACCAAATCAACCAAATACCATTACCTGTTTCCCCGATGGAGCTTGGAGTGAAGAGCACAAGATCGGTGGAATGGGATGGATCTTCGTTGATGAGGCCGGCGGGAATCTAGCTACCGGATACTCAGCGGAACGGTTTGTGATGTCTCCACTTATGGCGGAAGCTATCTCGATCCGATCGGCCCTCAACCATGCTCTGGAAATTGGAATCACCGATCTCTATCTCAAGTCAGACGCTCAAGATCTCATTTGAGCCTTATCATCGCAAGAGCAAATCAAAGAGATTTACAGAGTTATCTTTGATATCCAAACTCTCGCTACCATGTTCATCTCTATCAATTTTAGTTTCGTCTTTCGATCTAAAAATGTTTTGGCCGACTCGATCGCCAAAAATGCAAAGAGTCGACTTGTGACTTTAATTTCAGGTCAGGCCAATCCATGTAACCGTTCAGCCACATTAATTAAGTATAAGTTGTTCAAATAAAAAAGTAACAGGTAAATAGTAAAAGTATCAAAAATACTTGGGGAAATTTCAAAACAATGCATTTTTAGCTGTCAATTTTCAAAACTACACCGAAATATCCATTTCAAAACTACATTTTTTTCATTGAGTAAAAAAACTCTAAGCTCTAAAATTTAACCTTAAACCCTTAAATGTAAATCCTAAACCCCAAAATCGTAACTGTAATCAAAGATTAATGAACCCAAATATATATTAAAATAAGGAAAAATATATTTTTGAAAATTATCACTACTAAATGTAGTTTTGAAAATTTACATTTCTTTCAGAAAGATGTATGTTTGAAAATTTCTCAAAATATTTAGATACTTGATATTGGACCTCTTGTAAGTAACAAAATTTGTCAATTTATAACTTGACTCGATAATATCAAACACTTGATTTTTCAAGACAAATACCGGACAAGTATTCGTACCGACGCCTAGTTTCAACTTTCAACCATCGTTATAGGATAGACATCGTTAAGCCTAGTTATGTTCCAATCAGTGTTTCTATAAAGGGTTTCATTTTTTTTTTTTTACGGATATAAAGGGTTTCATTTAATAATTTCTCAGTCTACGTTTTATATTGATTTACCCAAGTGTAGAACATTGGAGAAGCATTTTAAGGAATATAAAAAGGAAATGGCCGGTTTGTGATTATACTTTATTAACAACTGACAGGGAAACCAACTAATTAATTATTCCTTGTGGTTATTTGTTTTTGTATTGTTTCAAGCTGAAACCTATTCATTTGTGGACTCGACGAAGATTTAGCACGATCCTCGCCTCGCTTGTTGTCTCCCTTGTGACGCATATCTATACTTGCAGTGCTCTATTAATTTGAAATTATGATATATTATTAGTTCCACATATGCAAGAAAATACAAGTATTCACTTCGTGCTTCCTATGAACCATCATAATATTTATTTATTTTATTTATATAATTATGCTAAAGAAAACACCATTAAAATGGTAGTATTAGAAAATGAAGGGAGAGGTTTAGGTGTCCCGCCGTCCAAAAAGATTTGGAAATCCAAGGGACCCTTTAAAAATAGACACAAGTTGGGATTAAGATATGAGATATCTAAGTAAGTCATCGCATTAGCCAACCAGCGACAACCACATCGACTCGCTTTGACCTAATTATACCCATTATTTGACACTCTCTCTATTTAACATCATAATTAGGATTAGGAAAGCCTAAACCACTCATCATCATCTCCCTCATCTCGTCACCTAGTAGTCAATCTTCATTCCATGGTTGTGATTCCAATGGAATCTTGGTATTAATAGCGTGTGCGTGTCTAGCTAATCCATTCTCATTAATTGTACATGTATATGATTGAAAATGTTAATTAGCTTGTAGCTAGAAAGGTTGAAATTCAGTACGTGACTCATTCGAATTTGATAAACTTTCTAAATTAAGATTATTGTGTTTTGTTTGTAATCTTTTTTTAATACCTGATTTTATGTTTCGTTTTTTTTTCTCATCAGTATTATTTTATGAATTACAAAAAGTTCAATACGAAAACCCTTTAACATTAAAAAAAACTACCAAAAGAAACTGGTTTCTTTTAAATCTTTAAACAATATCATAGGTTACCAAAGCTAGGATTAACGTCAAGACGTTAAAATGATCAATTATCAAATATGAAATGCTTTTCACATAACTCTAGAAACCAAAATCCTGCTCCACTATTGTAAGTCGATGAAGTCCTTGACTATATGAACAATCGATAGACCGACGTAATTGTTTAATCAAATAATTAACATGAGTACATGACTATAGTAAACAATGAAAAAGACAAGAAATAAAGAGAAGGTGAAGAAAGGACAAGGGTTTTGTATAAGAATTGCCAAGCAAGCAACAACGTGGTCCTATTGCTCTCCCCACGCACCAACCAGTCAAGTCAATACTCAATGGGTTAATTTCGACGTTTCATTACAAGACAAATAACTTTATTTTGTTTAAATGAAATATCGTTTTAGATAGAGAGAGCGTGGCGAAGTGTGAACATAGACACCGAGAAAGATCTGAGAGTCAATTCTTCTGGGTGACATGTGCTTGTGTGAACTGTATCAAGACGCGTTTTGGTGTTTAATCGTTTAAAATTTTAGCTATCATGACCAAAGTGTTAGTGAAAGATCTCCAACAACACATTTTATTTATTCTAAGCACTGTAGAAGAAGACTCTAGAAGAATTAGGTGAAGTATGATGGGTAATGAGGTCAGAGAGCCATATTCGTTTGAAAGCAGAGAAAGGAACTTTACGCATGTTTTTAATTAACAAATTTCAGATTTGTCTTTGTTATATATGAAAAAATCTAGCAAAAAATAATAATGCAATGTGTTAGTGAAAGATCTCCAACAACACATTTTATTTATTCTAAGCACTGTAGAAGAAGACTCTAGAAGAATTAGGTGAAGTATGATGGGTAATGAGGTCAGAGAGCATATTCGTTTGAAAGCAGAGAAAGGAACTTTACGCATGTTTTTAATTAACAAATTTCAGATTTGTCTTTGTTATATATGAAAAAATCTAGCAAAAAATAATAATTGCATTACTAAATCGCGATTAAGAAAGAGAGAGAGACGTACACACAATAATCATGAATGTTTTAAGGGTACCTAATGAAGGGAAAAGGAAGGAGAGAAGAAACTAATTAGAAAGTACGAAAGATGTATGGTTGAATTTGTGAATGCTGTGTGAACATGATACATTACACAATTACAACGACTATGGACTAAAAAGAGATTGGGAGGAAACATTGCCATTTTTAAATATATACATCATATAAATTAGGAATTCTAGATTTATAAAATCGTTTAGTACATCATATATCTTTCAAATAAAAGAAGAAATGCTACAAATCGTTCTTGATAATATTATAAAGATTTGACAAAAATATGTAAAAGAGAGAGTGCAAATATTAGTCACACAAAACATGAGTGTTAGTCTATCAAATGATACGTTTGCCACTTTCTCACCTCTCATAACGTTTCTAGGAACTTGCACTTTCTTAATTCTTTCTCTTCTTTTACAGCTTCCTCAGCCGTTACGAGTAACTCCAATATTTGGACGTATATATGTCAGTCATCTTTTGCCATAAAGAAAGAAGTGAGAGTATATTAGAGGTAGCCTTTAACTACAAGTCTACAACTGAGCCCATTATTACTAGGCCCAATAAACAATTATGTGAGAAGGTTTCCCTATTGTACGAGAAGGATAAAAAAAATGAGAGAAGGATAAAAAAAATTATGAAGTTGAACCAATTATGTGAGAAGGTTTCCCTATTGAGTATTGACAATGCCTCATTCGTACTATTTGATCGTTCTCTCACTTATCTTCTTCTTCTTTTTTTAGTTTTTTTACAAAGACCTCATTCTCTCTAGTCTGGTATTTGTTGGCTGTATTGGTTATATTTGCCTCACTGTAAACTTTTATAATTTCTAATAATTCAAGAAAACCATTTACAAAAAAAAAAACTAACTTTTAAATTTTTTAGGTTTTGGGCTTTCATTTTGAAAAAAAAACTATAAAGACTTTTACTGTAAAATGAAAAATGTGACGTTAAAAAAAATGAAAGCTATATATTATTGGCTTTTCAAAATTAAACTAAAACGTAGAGTAAAATTGGTTATTTGAATTCTGAATGATTTTAGAGGTTTTGAATATTTTTAGGATGTTCTTTGGCAAGAATTCCACTTTAAAAACTTTTACTTTAAGAAAAAATATAACAATATAACAATTTTCACAGTTGTTTTTGAAGAAACTACGGGGTGTTATTCAATTATGTATTTGAAATCAATTCTATAAGTTTTATAATCCTTTGGAATTTAAAAGTTTTGTCTTATTTTAACAATCCATTTCAGTTGATTCTAAAATCTCTGCAATATTTTATGAATTTTATTTTTAATATTTTACTCATAGAACTCCATTGGAATTCATTTTTGAATAAACAAAAGATTTTTAAAGTCATTTAGTTTTGAATAACACTGGAATTTAAATCTGGATCTAAAATCTTGATTGAATAACACTGGATTTGAAAATCTATTAATGATAGATTACAAATCAGATATCAAATAACACTGGATTTTAAATCTGGATTTGAAATCTTGATTGAATAACACTGAAATTCAATTTCAATTCAATTTAAATACAATATCCAATAACATGTATTGCATGGCCTCTAGAAGAACCTATGTAGTGTCGTCGCTCTGTGGATAGAGACTTTGATTTCTCTTTCCTTAAAAGGAATATTTCGACCAAATCTTAAATGTACATATTTCGACCAATCGTAAAACTAACCGCTTCTAACAAACTCCCACTCCTATAGAACATACTCCTCTCTCAACATGTGTTTTCTCTATTTTTTTTCAAACTCATTCAACATTGAATAACTAATTCGATTTGAAGTTTGCATCCCGACCACCACCATGATACTGGACTTTAGGATAACCGGTTGTCATAACAATGGTGTCTATGCGCTCCACGACTCTTGAAGCGGGAAAATCTCTCGGCTTCTAACATTCTCCATATCGTGGAAGATGTAAGGCCCAACCATTTTCTCTGTCGAATTCCTTTCACGAAATTAGGGTTTTTCGGTTTAAGGGTTTCAAAAATAATAATAACACAACGTTTCCATTTTAAAATATTAAAATAATATGGTTCAGATCAATGTTTTAAAAATCGGATCCATGACCAAACTAGAAATGTTTTTCGACCGGGTTTGATAATATTTTAAAAATAATACAAATAATTCTATATATTTAATTTGTTTTCAATTGTTTTGGATGCAGCGTTCTTCGCCGATGCTATGACTAATCCATAGTGAGTAGCCATTTACCAAATAAACCTAAGAGCAATTGAAAAGAACTGTTCTACGTCCATGAACTGCTATTACCAAATCGTAATAGCACCTAAGCAGATAAATCCAACAAATCATCATAATGGTAAATAAGATATATTGCTCCATGCATGGCGATCTGTACACTTTAGAAGGTATTTCTTTTACAGATTAATTTTGATGCTCTCTTGAAGGTTTTCTTGTGTTTATTAGATTGTAAATAAGTAAGTAAAAACTGATTATCAAACCAATCACGTTTTAATAGAATTTCTTTTATTCATAATTGAGTGTATATATAAAATTATTAATAACTTTTTATTTTGTTAAAGTAAATTATTTATAACTTTTAAGAGGAGTACTGAATATACGACGATCATGAAGTTCATCAGCTGTCGTCTTGCAGCAACAGAAAGTATCATTCTTATTTGTTAAACAAATGCCCCCATGTTTGTAACGCATAGATGCACAATGGTGATTGCATGCCTTTTCGCTGATACATGGTCCTTGTTCTTGACATAATCCTGATTCCTTGCCTATTTAGCTAATCAAAGTTAGCAATATTTATAGTACAAATATAAATATATAATGCAATATTAGTATATTGTATAGAAAGAAATATATAATGCAATATTAGTATAAACAAAGAGATACTTCCCTAAATGTTGAAATAACTTAATAACTTTCGTCATAACTTAAATATTTCCTTATTTGATCATGCATCTCTTTAAAATACAAACCTGAAATCTCTTTGTGAAGTTCAATTTATATACCAAAGTGGATCACGATTGTAGATGCTGTAGCTAAAGCAGCTCTCTACCAATAAAGAAAGTCTCCTTCAACAAGATTGTTCTAGGAGAATTTGGCTCTTATCTGTAGAATAATGAGGTTGAGCCGTTGAGGATGCTAAAAAGAAGAGATATGTCAATTTTTTTATTTTCACAAAAATCAAAAACTAAGTAGAACATAAGAAAATTTTAAGTAAAATATATTTGAACCTAGAACGTAATGAATATGGCAAAAGATTATTAATTTATTATGCTTTGCTAATATACTAGTATATGGCAAAATTAGATTTTACATGGAATTTGTAAATATATGAAGTATTGTTATATGTTGCATTACCTTTGTTTCACCTCATCACCTGATTGAACCAACACCTAGACAGTTAAAGTAACATTACCTTAAACAATATTCATAGAGAAATAAAAATACACTCACGGGTTGAGTGAGTAACTCTCCATTCACTTAAAACACAAATCATGTTTTGAGTGGCATTGTCTTTTTATTTATGGTACAATTCCGCAGATAATCTCCATGAGTAAAGTTCAGTGTTCTTTATATTTAGAGAAATATCAGAACCTAATTTTCTGGTTACCATTTTGTATTTTTACTTTAAGCGTTAAAATAGATTAACCTCTCATTCTTCAATTCTCTGCGACATTATTGTTAGGAGGTGAGAGTTTCCCCATGTATCCAGTCACTCCCATAAAATCTGCAAGTAAGAGATTATTTTATAAACTATCAAACATAATCTAAATCACTAATCTAATTTTTATTTTTATTAGAAAATAATCTATGATAAATCTTACCAACATGATATGCGACATCGTGCCTCTGTGATGACTATTTTAAAATCAGAAAAGTGAAAGATGTGGTTGTTTGATAGAGGCTGAAGAGGCAAAACTTCGGTTTCATGTTTGAGGATGATCGTGTAATTGTGGTATGCGACCATGAATTACGAGCTTAGCTAATTTTCGCTTGAGACCTTGAATTTGATTATCTCTCTCCATTCTCCTTTGGCAAGGCAATTTGAAAATGATGGTAGTTGGTGTTCTTCACAATTGCATGGATTTTGGTACCCTAACATAGAAAGTTTTCTCGGTACTAGATCTAGATATATCTACAACATATTCGACGACCAGAAACTCTAATTATCTTGTTAATAATAATCTAAAGCGAATTTAAAAATAGAACTTACACCTTCATCTACGAAGATGAAGTCCATTGCGCTCCTACCATTGGAATCAATTACTTATGTTCTTCTAAAGACCTTAACCTTATGCAGTTTCGTTTGATTTGATATCGATGAATAATATTTTTTTATCAGTAGTGACATTTCTAAAAATAATAAATCAGTTTTTTCGTCACTTTTTAAAAAATGTATTTCTCGATTAATATTGTAGAGATATAGAACAAAAAATATATGCTCATCATTAGAATGATAAAGAGGAATGAATGTTGAATTTAAAAAAAAACACTTGTTAAAGATTTAAAGTACCACATGAAAATATTTTAGAATGTATGATGATAAGAACCTATACCCTAAACCCTCTAAAAATCCTTATCAAACTCCAACGAGGAAACACCAAATACAAACTCTCTGGATACAATGCCAGATTGGATCTCATGGCGATATAAATCAAAAGATTCCTATCATGATCTCATATCGATCATGATCCAAAGATTCATAGCGTTTTCTCTCAACCACAAAATAAAGTATATTCCTCTCAATTACGATTTCTCTATATTTATATCTTCTCTCACGTGTAACCGCCTTTCTTCTTCTCACTTCTAGCTCATCATTCTCCAATGTCATGTAAGCCCTCCACATCCTATTATATGATTATAGGAAACCTTAAAATACTGTAATAGATTTCAAAGAGTACGTACTTCGCTAGGCTATTTCAACACAGTTTGAAATCCCCTCAGTCACTTAGAGAGTTTGCTTATTATGTTGGTTTTTTTTTCCGGATTTTAGATAAATTCCGGATCCTGTTAAACCCACTTCATGAAACATATGGTTAAATGAACGAAAACCAGCATATTAGTTAAATATGTCAAATTATATGTTAAGATAAAGTTTTTGTGTTATACAATGAAACGATGAAAATATTAGGAAAAGTGTAATACCCCTCACGATGGCTAAGCACGTGATGGGACGGATAGTTAAAACAACCATCCCACGGAGGATCTATCCCACAAGATATACAAAATGTCCGGGATGGAGGTATCCCACATTTCCAAGCAGCTATGTGAAAGCTCAGAAACATGGAAATGACAGAAGAATTAAAATGAGAGATTTTAATTCTCAAGCACGACGGGAACGAAACCCTCCGATCAAGAAACGTACGAAACCCTTTGGAAAGGGAAACGTACAAAACCCTCTGCAAGAGGAAACTGGGAAGGAGCACCAACGGGATGTTGACACCAGCTGCTTAAAGGATAAGAGTGGTCTGGACCAATAAGAAGGCTACATTCAGCTACTGAGTAAGGACGAAGGAGTTCTAGGCCAATCACGTGGTGGCACTCAACAGCTGAGGGAAGGAGCCAATGGAAGGAGCCACTTGATCCAGGAAGATAGGATCAAGGAGGAGATGTTCATCCTCAACGGACCAATCACGTTCACCACCCAGCAGCTTGGGGAATGGACCAATGGGAAGGTGCCATTCGACCCAAGTGGATGGGGATGGGAGAAGCAGCTCCAGGCGTGCTTCCATGCCATTGGTTGCATGCAGAAGCAAGGTGTCGCGTTCTGAAGCCTGAGACGCCACCTCGAGCTTCCGAAAACCTATATAAAGGCCCCCTTGGTCTTCACTTCCAAACCACACCAGAAACTGAAAACTAGAGAGAGAAACTAGAAAGAGAAAGGAGAGGGCGTGGAGAAGAAGAGGAAGAAGAAGAAAGAGGAGAAGAGAAGAAGATCCAGAGGCGGATCAGCATCGGGCTAGAGCGGGGAGGCTAGGGTCGGGGTCAGCCGGGTCGTCTAAAATCTGTGAGTTCCGGTAGCTAGGTTATAGTTTATTCTGCTATTGGTTTTTGGTTCTGTAGTATAACTCTCTAAACAATATGGTTTAGTAAAAATTGTGGAGAGTTATGCAAAATTTACTGTGAATTGTTGTGAGGTTGTGGCGGGTAATCTTCTAGGAGAGAAGTTATGCCGTCAAACCTCTTGAGTGTTTGAATGCAGGTTATGCATTCGTGGTGAGGATCTGGATGGCTATGCCATCAGATCTATTTTGTGGAGGTTCTGGTTGGTAATCTTTCACGCGGGGAAAGCTCTGCTTGAGAGTAATCTTTCACGTAAGGGAGAGCTCTGCCACAGAACCGGGGGTACAAGTATATTAGGGCGTAGCCCATATGCTAGTACCGGCACTTATGGTGTAACCATAAGCGGGGCCAGGTCCATATGAATGTAGTGAGACATTCATATGGAAATGCACATGAATGTAGTGAGACATTCATGTGTGGTTAGGGTGGTGTACTCAAGACATTCACGCACAACTCCTTTCATGTGCGATTGTTAGGAGGTGCCCCAGCCTATTACAACGGTGTGGGAAGAACTCGGAGAGACGGGATTGCAGCCTAGGCCGAGTTAATATCATACGACGGTATGATCCGACTAACAGTGAGGTTAGGTCGATGAGTGAGGGCCGGTCAGGTTACTGTGTGTTTCCTGGGCGGTGCTTCGCGTGTGCGTGTAATGAGTTCCCTTGGTACACCAGTTAGAGGTTTTACCGGTGAAGCAGTGGAGTGTAGAGTAAGGGTCAAGTACATGAGTACTTGCCTTAGTGATGATTTGCATTTTAATTGCATGTGTGATTGCTTTTAAATTGCATGTTGTGGCATATATTATGCATATTGGATGTGCTAACTTTGATGCAGGTGGTGGCGGGGTTCTTATCCCGCGGCGTTTCTGTTTCTTTTGGGTTGGGTTTGGGGAATAACCTTTGTATAGAGGGTCCTGAACTCACTGAGTAACATTAGGTTACTCATGATGATTATTTGTGTTTCAGGAAGCTTGGAGTAGATAGCCCGTGGGCGGGAGGCAGAACACTCGAAGACCGGAGTAGTTTGCTTGGCTTTTGTTAAAAACTCGATTTCGGGTAATGTATTGTAATGTCTTTCTTTTGGGCGTTAGGCCATGCCGGCAATGTAGGATAAGGTTTTGTAAGAACATGTTTTCAATGTTTGAAATATAAAGTTATGTTTTTGCAAAACCCGGCTTACTGGAATGATATTAGCTAGTCCAAGCTAACACAACTCAAGACTAGAGGTAAAGGTTGCAAAGCCTTAACCAATGGTCGAGAGGGTCGTATTCATCAGGTTAACTGGCCTGGGCTCTGATGTGTTCTTAGACCTGGGACAGATTACTTGATGGACCTCGACAATTGTGATATGCGGTTTAGTCTATTCATAGACCGAACCAGGGGTGTTACAAAAAGTGCTTTGGAACAACATATTTTAGAGTAGTACTCTACCAAATTCATAAAGAATAGCCATTTATTTTGTCGAGTTCTTAGCAAGATTATTTGTTTTAGCCAAATTCTTATCAACGTTTTTGTTAAAGCCCAAAGCACAAAATTACATAATGTCAATAATAAATCTTCCAGAAACTTCTAGAAGATTGAGTTCGATTTTGATAATAACCGGGGGTGTTACAAAATGTGCTTTGGAACATCATATTTTAGAGTAGTACTCTACCAAAGTCATAAAGAATAGCCATTTATTTTGTCGAGTTCTTAGCAAGACTATTTGTTTTAGCCATATTCTTATCAACGTTTTTGTTAAAGCCCAAAGCACAAAATTGCATAATGTCAATAATAAATATTCCAGAAACTTCTAGAAGATTGAGTTCGATTTTGATAAACACGAAAAAATAAATACGGAAATATTTTGTATCCCTTTCGATAAACATCAAGAAGAATATCCGCATCCGCGGGATATTCCTTCCTTGCGAGTCAATCCTTATCGCTTGGCGAGCAAGTCTCCTCTCAACTATAAATAAAGGACCTCACCCCTCTCATTATTCATTCACTCGAAAATCAAACACTCCAACAAAGAATCTCTCGCATCTCTTCTCTTCATCTCTATAATTATTGCAAATACAGATTCTATAGTCGGGTGTTGCGATTATATTCTCACGCAGTTGTATCCTGGGTTTCAAAAGTCTTATCAAAACCGGCACACTGCGGGAGATTTTTTTTTTTTGGTGAATCACAGGGAGAAAGCTCCCAGTTTTTATTAAGACAAAAATAGTTCTTACACACGGACATGCCGCGGAATCGAGTCTCCACACTCGTCATCACGTAAAACAGAAAACAAGTCCGGAGGGACTGAATCAAAAGTGTGCAATCCTAGCTGTAGTGAAAATGCATAGTTCGCCAGTCCATCTGCTAGACGATTGGCCTCCCTATACACATGAGTAACATCCCAGTCCTTTACTAAAAAGCCATAGCACAAATATACCAGTCTTCATGAATCCAACCACCATCGAAGAGTCTACCTCTACTTCAAGTCTTGTGGTCCCTTTCTCCCCGGCAATACACAACCCATAATACAACCTCCATATTCTGCCATCGGAGCTGTACATCTCCCAATATTTAAGGCAAAACCACCGCACCACTGGCCGTTGCTATCTCTCAGTGCCCCACCAGCCGTAGCCAAGCATGGGTTCCTGCGTGATGTGCCATCCATGTTCAACTTCATCCAATTCTCCAGTGGGGGAAGCCATGATATCAATCTCTCCTCTCTCACTCCTGTTTCGCCTCTGTCATTTTTTCATCTTCACCTGTTGCACTTCTTTTGCATAATCCTTCACAAACTTAACCCTATCACTCCAGAGCTTATTGTCTCCAAACAAGTTACCACATCTCCATTTCCAAGCCCACCACACAAAAACAGCAAACAACGTGGACCAAGGTCCAACTCCCGTTTCCGAGGACTCACCTAAGTTCTCAAAAATCCATTGGAATAGAGGCATAGTGAAGAATTCTTGGCGTTTTCGTCGTGGTACAATGCGCTCCCAAATCCCACTCATTGAGTTATTGAGTTAAGGAAATAGATAAAATCTCGCCTCTGCGTATTCGTCTATTTCCAATTGTTTTCAATACTATTTAATATCTATATTATTATAAGATTTTTATTCGTATTTTTCAATCTGGATTTTCGCGGTCCTACATTTTGTTCCTAAGACATGTTAAGATGTTGAATCAATCTTATCTCTTCCTCGAACATGAAATGAAATGGTAAAATGTATAATGAATATACAGATTTTTAAGAATCGGTACTTGTTGCAAAACTAGTGTTGAAACTAGCTCTTAGTTAGAGTAAAGTAAATACAAATGTTAAATATCTTTACGATGGTTTTACATGGATGAAACATATTAACATAGCTCTCTCTTCCTTTGTTAGCAAGAAGAAATGGCTTTTAAGTAGGGAAAGGGTAGGAGAGGGTATTTTAGATCATTTACAATTCTCTTAAGAGGCTTTTGGCTAATCTCTAATCAGATACTCAAACAGTCAAACATATGATATGAGCCGTTGTTAGCATCAAGAGACTCCATGGGTCATGCTGCATTTGCAATAATTAGCCGAGATTACCATAATCTCCCCTCAAGGGTAAAAGCGTCATTCACGTAAAAGGTTAATATTGTAAATAAGAGGAATGCGATTGGAGGGAGTAGGTGATGCCAAAGTAGAAAGAGGTTAATAGAGAGATTCGCATCAGAGCCCGCCTTGTCTCGAATCGAATCGCAGATCTCTCTCTCTCTTTCTCTTTCTCTTTCTCTGTCGCGCGGAGTCCCCGAGATCACCACCTTTTACTCCTTCTCTACTATGGCGTCTGCGAGCTTCGTCAAGCTAAACAATCTCTCTTCTCCATGGATCGGCCAGCGCTCCTTCGCTCACCACTCTGCCTCTTCTCCTTCTCCTCCTCGTGTCTCCTTTGCGATCCGCGCCGGTGCTTACTCCGACGAGCTTGTTAAAACCGCCGTGAGTTTCCTTTGTTCCTTTTTTTCAGCGTTGGATCTCATGCGAATTTTCCACTATGACTGTTTATTATAGTTTAGTGTTTCACTCGATTCGAACTCTCTCTGACTCTCTTTCGTTACAAAGTCAAACACGATGATTGTGATTGTGATTCTGAATTTTGATTTGCGTGTTGATAGAAAAGCATTGCGTCCCCTGGGAGAGGAATCCTTGCGATTGATGAGTCGAATGCAACTTGTGGGAAGAGGCTCGCTTCAATCGGGTTGGATAATACGGAGGAGAACCGTCAGGCCTACAGGCAGCTTCTGCTAACGACACCTGGCCTCGGCGATTACATCTCTGGCGCCATTCTCTTCGAGGAGACCCTTTACCAGTCCACCAAGGACGGCAAGAAGTTTGTCGATTGCTTACGCGATGCCAACATCGTCCCTGGCATCAAAGTTGACAAGGTTCTTCTTTTTTTCTTTCACAACAATCCAATCACTCTGAATTTTTCTTGTGTATTTTGCTCTCAAATTGACAAATCTAATCGTATATTTTCTTTAGGGTTTGTCTCCTCTTCCCGGCTCCAACGACGAGTCTTGGTGCCAAGGATTGGATGGATTGGCTTCACGCTCTGCTGAGTACTACAAGCAAGGCGCTCGTTTCGCCAAATGGTATGTCAATGGCTTGCTTGTTTTGATGACTCTTTTGTTAATGGTGGCTTTGAGTTCGATCTGAGCATGTTCATATATATGACTCTTTTGTTGGTGGATTTTGATTTGAGCATGTTTGTGTATGTGTAATGTGTGTTTGTCCAGGAGGACTGTTGTGAGTGTTCCTTGCGGTCCATCAGCACTAGCTGTGAAGGAAGCTGCGTGGGGGCTGGCTCGCTACGCAGCCATTTCTCAGGACAATGGGCTTGTCCCCATAGTGGAGCCAGAGATCCTTCTCGACGGGGACCACCCGATTGAGAGGACACTGGAGGTGGCAGAGAAAGTGTGGTCGGAGGTGTTCTTCTACTTGGCGCAGAACAACGTCATGTTCGAGGGCATACTGTTGAAGCCGAGCATGGTGACGCCAGGTGCTGAGCACAAGAACAAGGCCTCTCCTGAGACAGTTGCAGAGCACACGCTCACCATGCTCAAGAGGAGAGTTCCTCCGGCTGTTCCAGGGATCATGTTTCTCTCTGGAGGACAGTCTGAGGCTGAGGCCACACTGAACCTCAATGCCATGAACCAGAACCCGAACCCGTGGCATGTGTCCTTCTCCTACGCACGTGCCCTGCAGAACTCCGTGCTCAGGACGTGGCAAGGGAAGCCCGAGATGTTCGAGGCGTCGCAGAAGGCTCTCTTGGTTAGGGCTAAGGCTAACTCACTGGCTCAGCTCGGGAAATACTCGGCCGAGGGAGAGAACGAGGATGCAAAGAGAGGAATGTTCGTCAAAGGTTACACCTACTGATTGTTTCATTTTGGTCCCAACCTTTAAGAAAACATAATAATAAGGACCTTTGTTGTCTCTTTACCTTTTTGTTTCGTTTTGGTTTTTCTCTGTTTCATGTATGAGAAAGTACTCACAAGTCACGATCACGATGATGATATGTATCTGAGAAACTTGAAAACATCTCTATATTTCCTCAAAGATTTAGTTTGAATTTTCGGAGGGTATTAAAGTAAATTTGGTGAGTTGTGTTTGTTACCACAACTAAACAAGTCCAATTTGTAAGTAAAGTGGGTTAATCCTTGGACCGGAGATCTCGTTAGGCATAAAAGAAGATTACAAACGAACGACGACGACGACTTTGCTTTTGAAGATTTTCTCCGATGAAGGATCGTCTTCCTCCGTCGCTCTATGTTCCGCCACACCAGCGAGTTGGCTCCCTCGCTCCCGATTACGCCTTTCATCCTCTTCCTCTCTCCCACTCGCAACCACAACAGACACTCTTGCCCATTCGCTATATCTCTGCCTACGATGATTGCGTTTCCGAGGAAGCTTTTGATCGCGAGCCTATGCCGGTAACTTCCTTTTCTCTCAACTCGCATTCCTTTATGCCACGTATGAGGCCAAATTGAAGGGAGCAGTAAGCTTATTGAAGCTCCTGCAATGGCGATTCTACATTTTTTATTTTTTTTTACTTTGAGTTAATATTCAGAAATCTGTTGTAATGGGCTTCCTTTCCTACTGGAACCATATCATAATTTCAGGGTGCATTTCATTGTGCAAACTTGGGTGAATGGAAAAGGAACTTGTCTATGCTTCTGAGTGATTCTGTAAAGCAAGAAATTATTTCCAGGGAGAAGAAAGATCGAAGGGATTTTGATAAACTTGCAGCACTCGCTTCAAGCCTTGGATTGTATAGGTACTGACTCTGTGCTCGTTTTTTTTCTTCTTCTTATCCCTCGTGGTTGTTTCTTATTAGGAAGAACATTTCTTTATAGAAATCTATTTTTTACAGTCATGCATATGCTAAGGTTGTAGTGTTCAGTAAGATCCCACTTCCCAACTATAGGTTTGATCTAGATGACAAGAAGCCACAGAGGGAGGTAATATCTTCTTCCACTGTCTCTCTTCCCTTTGGACTTTTCTTATCTTTCTTAAAAAGGGCAAAAATATACAAATGTTTGATAGGTGGATTTGCACATTGACCTTGTTAAAAGAGTTGAAGCTTACCTCAACGAACACCTAACTAAAATGTCAAAGAGGACGGAGAGATCCTCAAGAAGTAGTAGCACAAGCAGTATCGCTACCGATGAAGGGCTTCTTGAGCAACCAGAGCTCATGGCTGCCACCAAGACGACTCTGGACAATATTCTTTGGCAAAGAAGTTTACAGCTTCGGGATCGTCAAGAACATTGGCAGGTTCGGCATACTCGCCTATCTGTTTATGTTAGGGGCTTAAATTCATAACTTAACATTTTATGTGTTTCGTTGATCAGCAATCGGTACGAGGTCGAAGAATGCTGGAACTTCGCACAGGTCTCCCTGCTTTCAACCAGAGGGATTTGCTATTGACAGCGATATCACAAAACCAGGTATGGAAAACCAGTGAAAGGAGGCATTTGCTTGTGCCCTATTGTGTGACATCTCTGTCAACTTGAATGTCTTCTTATATTTTTGTATTAGTTCCTATAACAGGTTATTGTTATCTCTGGAGAAACAGGTTGTGGCAAGACCACACAAGTTCCACAGTTTATTTTAGAATCAGAGATTGAAGCGAACCGCGGAGCTTCTTGCAGTATCATATGTACTCAACCAAGAAGGATATCTGCTATGTCTGTATCGGAGAGGGTTGCTTACGAGAGAGGAGAGCAGTTGGGTGAATCCGTGAGTTTTTTTGCTTGGAGACTTATACTTTGGAATTGCTTACTCTCTTTACTGACTAAGTTCTCTTGCGTGAAGGTTGGATACAAAGTTCGACTGGAAGGTGTTAGAGGAAGAGATACTCGTTTGCTCTTTTGCACCACAGGCATTTTGTTGAGAAGGTTGTTGGTAGATAGAAATTTAAGAGGAGTTACTCATGTGATTGTCGATGAAATCCATGAGCGTGGAATGAACGAAGGTATACTTTTCTATCACCCTGTAGCTCCTCATTTTGATGCGATTTCTTATTAATACTATACTGTTTTTTTGTGTTTCTAGATTTCTTGCTTATCATTCTTAAAGATCTCCTACCTCGTCGCCCAGAGCTTAAGCTGATACTGATGAGTGCAAGTTTAGATGCTGAGCTCTTCTCGTCATACTTTGGTGGGGCAGGTGTAGTTCACATTCCGGTAAGTTGGAAACATAATATATACTAGTGAGAAAGGAAATGAACATTCAATCTTTGTGGGATCTATTTGCTCTGAGACATTTTACTTGTATTTTATAGGGCTTTACATATCCGGTTCGTAGTCATTTCCTAGAGGACATTCTGGAGATGTCCGGGTACAGATTGACTCAATACAATCAAATTGATGATTATGGTCAAGAAAAAACATGGAAGATGAACAAACAGATCCCAAGAAAAAGGAAGAGCCAAATTGCTTCTGTCGTTGAGGTATTAGCAAAAAGAATATCAGTCTACGGTAGCTTAGTTAGTTGTACGTTTAGATCCTCATTTCTTGTTTTTCCCCTTATGTAAAAGCAGGACGCACTAAGAGCGGCTGACTTGAAGGAGTTTAGCCCTGAGACTCGAGGGTCTTTATCTTGCTGGAATCCTGATTGCATTGGTTTTAATCTCATAGAATTTATCCTTTGCCATATATGTGAGAATGAGCGTCCTGGTGGTATTTTAGTTTTCATGACTGGATGGGATGATATCACCTCTCTCAAAGAAAAAATCCAGATTCATCCAATCTTTGGCAATCCACACCGTGTTTTGTTGCTTGCCTGCCATGGTTCTATGGCAAGTTCTGAGCAGGTGATTTATGCTTTTTTTCTCCTCATGACAACCTGCATCATATGCTACTGTTACTAGAATATCAGTTATCGAATGATCGTCTGAAAAAAAAAAAGTTCGTCCACATCCGTTGCAGAGCTGTTACCTCTTTCTTTTATTTGTTGCTCTCCTCCGTTCTTTGCAATCTGAACATGTATACGGGAGAGAAAACGTATTAGTCATTTACTGTTTACTTTATTTTGAGTAAATACAGAGGTTAATATTTGAAGAACCTGCAAGTGGAGTAAGAAAGATAGTGCTAGCAACTAATATCGCAGAAACGAGCATCACGATCAATGATGTTGCTTTTGTCATCGACTGTGGAAAGGCAAAAGAGACCTCATACGATGCATTGAATAATGCGCCTTGTTTGCTTCCTTCTTGGATTTCCAAGGTCTCAGCCCAGCAGGTATGTCTGTCTTGTTCAGAGTTGATAGCTTTTCTGAGAAAAATAAATGCAGGACACAGACACAGGGATTAGTGGTACGGTATAGACGTAGGCATACAAGCTATTAGATGTTCTTTGTTTGTGTTATGCGCAGTTGCATTTCAAATACATATACTAACAATCTTAATTCGCTGGCTGCTCCGCGGTCTTACTTTTGTTATTGATTCTCATGCTCTGTTTTTGATTGCAGAGAAGAGGAAGAGCTGGTCGTGTTCAACCTGGGCAGTGTTATCATCTTTACCCAAAGTGTGTATATGATGCTTTTGCAGAATATCAGTTGCCTGAAATCTTGAGGACGCCTTTACAGTCACTGTGTCTGCAAATCAAAAGCTTAAATCTCGGAAGCATATCTGAGTTCTTATCAAGGGCGCTGCAATCTCCTGAACTACTAGCGGTACGAATTATTTGCTTAATTCTAAACTGATCTTAATAATTCAAGAAAACAGTAAATATCTTCAGTCTCTTTTCTATGCTTCATGTTTGGTTTCTTCAACTTTGCCCGCAGGTCCAAAAGGCCATTGAATATCTGAAGATAATAGGGGCGTTGGATGAAAATGAATGTCTCACTACTCTAGGTAAGAGGAAAGATGCTATTTTTCATCTGTATCATGACAGTTTTGAGTTGCAGGACTGAAATTTATAAATTCTTTGCAGGTCGCTATTTGTCCAAGCTTCCAATGGAGCCAAAGCTTGGAAAAATGCTGGTACTAGGAGCTATTCTTGGTTGCCTTGATCCCATTTTGACTGTTGCGGCTGGCCTGAGTGTGAGAGATCCTTTCTTGACACCTCTGGACAAGAAAGATGTAAGTCCTTCTCCCACCAAGAGATAATGGTTTGAAATCTCGTGTCTTTCTGAAAGACCATAAGATATGATGTTTTTTTTTTTTTTTTTTTTTTTTTTTTAAATCTCCCAGCTTGCAGAAGCCGCAAAATCCCAGTTTTCACGTGATCACAGTGATCATCTCGCACTTGTTCGTGCATATGAGGGGTGGAAAAAAGCTGAGGAAGAGTCTGCTGTATATGATTACTGCTGGAAAAACTTTCTGTCGGTGCAGTCGATGAGAGCTATTGATTCTCTCCGGAAAGAGTTCTTCTCATTAATCAAGGATACCGGACTAATAGATGGAAACACAGCGACCTGCAATTCAGGAGGGAATGACGAGAATCTTACACGAGCAGTTATTTGCTATGGACTGTATCCAGGAATCTGCTCGGTTGTGGTGAGTACTACTTTTCCTGAATCTCTCTGTCCTGCGTTGGCCTCTCTTGGCCTCTCTCTCTATTTAGCAGTTTGCTTTATTGAGCATTTATGTGATGACACATGCAGCATAATGAGAGATCATTTTCCCTCAAGACTATGGAGGACGGCCAAGTTCTTCTTAATTCAGTATGTGTCAAAGTTAATGATAGTGTACCTTCTTAGACTACTGTTTAGTTGGAATTTTGTTACATTCGTTTTTTTGTTGTTCGTTCATAGAATTCGGTAAATGCTCGGGAAACAAAAATACCATATCCGTGGTTGGTTTTCAACGAGAAGATAAAAGTGAACTCTGTTTTCCTGAGGGATTCAACAGCTGTCTCTGACTCTGCGCTTATTCTCTTTGGCGGCAGCATTTCCAAAGGAGACACTGTGAGCTTCTCTCTCTCTCTATCTATTGTTTCTTTGTTGTCGCGATTGACAGCAATTTTATTACCAACCTCTTATGTTTTGGGGTTTTGACAGGATGGCCACCTGAAAATGTTGGGAGGGTACTTGGAGTTTTTCATGAAACCTGCTGTTGCAGAGATATACCAATCTTTGAAGAGAGAGCTTGACGAGCTGATACACAGCAAAGTGAGTTTCATAAAGTGCTGTGTTATTCTGTCAGGCATTTCTCTGGTTATGGACTAATCATCTGAGTTACAAAATACTTTTTTTTTCCAGCTGCTTAATCCTAAAGTGGACATGAAAGCACACGGTGAACTCTTGTTGGCGATACGGTCATTGCTCTCTGAGGATGGATGTGAAGGAAGGTTTGTGTTTGGTCGCCAAGTATTTCGGCCTTTCGAAACGTTGGCGGAACCGACATCGGTTTCAAGGACTGAAAGTGGGCCAGGGGGTGACAATTCCAAGAGTCAGCTCCAAACTATACTCACTAGGGCGGGTCATACAGCACCAATGTATAAGACAAAGCAATTGAAGAACAACAAGTTCCAATCAACAGTAGAGTTTAACGAGACACAGATCATGGGACAACCTTGCAGCAACAAGAAGACTGCTGAGAAGGATGCTGCAGCGGAAGCTATACAATGGCTGATGGGTGGGGCTAAGGAAAGCCATGACCACGTGAATCATATGTCAAAGCTACTCAAGAAAAGCAAGAAGGATCACCTCTGATTGCTTTGCTGAGACCAATGCCTTGTAGAAACAACAAGGAAAATGCGGCTTTGCTGAGACTAATGCCTGAATGCAAAGCTGGAACGAAAAAGGATTGACTCGGAGCATCTCTTTGTGGCATTTGATCAGATGGGGTTGAAGGGATGCAAGCGCACAAAGAGAAAGAGAATTGATCTGGATATGCTGCAGTATGTGAGAATTAAGATGTGTCCAATCTATGTGGGTCTTATGTTTGGAATCACCTCTGATTGCTTAGCATTAGGTGTAAAATGTAACTATATGGGGTTTGATGTTTAGAGTCCGATGGCTTTGTGTGTGGTAGAGAAAGTTGCCCACATGAATTCTTGTTTGTAATGAAGAATTGTGTATCAAGTTGACATGTTTGCTCTTTCACTTCTAACTTCCTCTACCAATCTACTGAATCATTAATGCCAATTCATTTTTATTCCCAAGGAAAATGTATAAGCAACACTGTAATTGAGTCATCTCTAGTTTGCTTAATATACCTCTAATGGCTTCCAACTTTGGTTGCCTTTGCATACTTGAAAGTGCTGCTTTGAAGTTCTCAAGAGAGAGGAGGCCAGATTCCATATTCATAAACGAAACAGCACGGAATCTAACATCCAAAAAATACCCTCAATACAGAGAAATGGCAGTTTTTTTTTTTTTTTTGTTCAAAAGAAATGGCAGTTTTTAACAAGAAACAACTCACTCTTGCAAATGAATACTTACATAAACTTCACAAAACTGTTGACGGTAGAATTGGCGTTAAGAAATGTCCTCAGCATGTCTTTAAATCTTGTATCTGATGTTATACTCTACACATTAAGCGTTTTTTAATCTTTCCATTGAACTGAGAAACATACCCACAGGGGAAGCTTGAGTCTGCTGGTAGGGACAGCAGGTGTTCCAATAAACTGGAAAGATCAAGCAAGATAAACATCACAATATATATATAAATGATTTGAACAATTTGGAAGGTTTTTGTTTAGACAGAGCATAAACATAATCACAAAACTCTGCTCTTTTCACTACAGAGACATCAAAAATTGACACTTGCAGATTGTTTGAGCTTTACTTCCATTGCCACTCTCGCTTCATTTTAGCTGTTTGTGTGCTTTACAAGCCGGAATGAGTTGCTTCGAGCCCTTCAGGCTAGTTCTGGCCCTCTGTATATCATGTCACTTGCTTGCTGCCATATTCTTTTTCCAGGAATCCAAATATCATCTTCAGCCGATCTTGCAGATTTACGAGGATGTTCTTTGTCACTCTTTTCTGATGTCTACTGCTCTTTAGCCACTCAATCCCAAAGTATACTCTCACATATGTCGTCTTTGGTTTTGACGCCAATTCTTCCATCTGGTATCTGAGATGGAGATTGAAATAGTCACCCAGTGGGACTCCATGGAGAGTCATGACCTCTTCCACAAGCCAACCGTTCTTATCTGGTACAAGGGACTTTTGCTGTGTACTTGTTACTTCTCCTCTATAACGTGAAATACGCTTATCTCTGTAGTATGTCTGCCTCTCATACACATCATCCTTCTCCGACTCCCATGGGCTGCATGAATAGCTTTGGCAACCTGCTCTCTCCATAGCCTTACGATCCAATTCACCCCCACCAAACAACTCCATGAAGAAACTTACCTAGAGTTATCAGAATCATGCGTTAGACAACTTCAAAACTCAAAAATACTCTTCTTGCCACAAATTTTTTAATAGCAGCACATTTACTCACCGGAACAGGGAGAGTCAAAGAGTAGACCTCAGCGAATCGGACATCATCAACACCCAAGAACAAACCACTCTCTTCACTTTGGAGTTTCTGCTCTGATTCCTCTTCAACAGCTTGCACTTTCTGCTCTGGGGTCAATGATTTTGCTTTCCACAGGGCCATTATTGTCCTATCAACACAAAAAAGTCTCAAAGTCTATATCTTATGATAGTAGTTAAAGTTATTCATGTGTCTAAAAAGCAGGAACTACGGGTGTTAACTCTTGATAGATAGTCAATAGTCATCCACGTCTGAACATGTCTACAATATGAGTGATACTACAAGACTATCAATATTCATATTCAGATAAAACAAAAGTGGGCATATTCAAGAGCTAAGCATATTGGTTGAGGCACAGAAAATATAGGGGAAGACTCATCACTTACTTTTGTGCCACATTGAAAGACACAAATGAGTGGAAATGGAACTTAAGCCTCCCTTCCTCATCATGTGTTTTTGCACCTATCCTCGCATCCATTCCTCTACCTGGCCTGAGAGTCATGACGATAATGGGACTCCCCATCGAAGCAAGAGTCGGAGGAAGCACTTGAATATCCTCTATATCTTCCCACAGAAAAAAGAATTTTGTTTTGTTCCCAAAAAGGCTTGCATAAAAGCCAACAATTCTTGCAGACAGGAAAAGACGACCCTGCATAACCAAAACTAAATTAAGAAAAAAAAAAAAAAAAAAAAAAGCTGCTAAAGAGAGGATACAGTTGAATACTAAAAACAAAAATATGATGTACATGAAGAGCTGGTCACCTGCAAAGGCATTTTTCGCTTCAAGTGACATGTAAAGTCATTGATCAGAAATTCCTCTCGTGGAAGACCAAAGAGCTTCTGAAAGGCTGAATTTGTTTGAGGAGACCGGACATTCATCTGAAATTCCCATTGACCATATAAGAACGCACACCAACAATAGCAGATTCAATGTTGACTTGAGACCAAAAAAAAAAAAAAAGTAGTAGCCACATACCTTCTTGCCCACCTCTTTCTCCATTTTATTTAAATAGTCTCTAACAACATCTCCACTTCCTGTATGATCCAAGAAAATCCTCAAGTGCAGCTTCGATTGACAAGCCTGAGCCAGTTTCCCTTGCAGAGGAATCCAAACATCCGCTAGATCAGATATATTAGATCTCACAAAGTTGATCTCCGCCTGTCCCAATGAAACAGCCTCGTCAAAAGGTCCATCGAAATCAAAAACTTCAACATTCAGTACAGAAGGAGGATCAGCCATGGCATCGAACTCAAATATTTCTGCACAAAACAAGATTCAAACCCTCATAAAGTTCATGATGACAAATCAAAGAGTCAAACATTCAAGAATTGAAGCAACAAGTGAGATAACTAGAAATAAGTAAACCATAGAGAAACCATTTACCATTCCACTGAGGATTAGATTTCTGGAACTTGATGGAGCTGGTTCTCGTCTTCCCATTGGAACTAAATACGATATACGGATCACAATGCCCGCTTGCATCTACAGCTGCTAGATCGACCCCCTCAATTAGAGCAACAGTAAGCAACCAACCATCTCCATGAGCTTTGATGCCATGATCACTGCCTATAATACAGTTAATGATTAGTCAGATACACAATGAGGGGCCACATGAATGGTTGACGATGCATCTTCATGGACATTACCTTTCTGTTTTCTTGCCTGCATGAAACGGGAAATCAATTTCAAGACTCTTTCGCACTGAAGAACGAGAACCCCACTAACAACAAACTCCCCAACCGAATCCGGCAAATCAAGGCCATTAAACTCAAGCCCTTGGATTGCACCAGGTATGGCAAACACCATATGGACAAACACATAAACACCAATCAAGAAAGTGGAGAAGACAGTGAAGTTGGCGAAATATTGCACTGCCAACTTCCAGTCTGACTGGGGCTCAGCTTGCAAGGAAGAGAGAACTTGCTCCTTGTTCAGCCCAATGTCCTTGGAATCCACAGGGTTTACATTTTGGGCTAACAAGTTGGCATACTGCTCGAAGCTGTCTTTTAAACCCTGCCTGGCTCCATTCTCTATCATACCTTTCATCATGGTGCTCTGAAGAAAATTCAACCTCCAAGAAATGACCAAACGGGAACACTTCTCCCCTGAAGGCAGCTCAGGCCCAGGAGAGACACAGTAAAGCATCTCAACCTTGAAGGTGCCTCCAAAGGGAACATCAGGAGTGCTCACACAAGCAAAAACAGCGTAAACCTCTCCATCAGCTTTGAGATATGACTGCTCCTCTGTGCCTTTAACCGCCTTAATAAGTTTAGTTGGAGCCTTGAGGTAACTCACAACACGCTTAACGCTCTCTCCTTCATTCTCAAGCTTCCATTGTCCTATCTGAACTTCCGTGGTCCCTTGCAACTCGGATAACGACGTATAGAAGCTTGAATCGGATGCGAAGAGCAGAGTGTTAAGCTCTGGTGGTGAAATCATAAACAACTGGTCAACAAGGACCCCACCTGGTAGGTTACAAGGAGGTTCGTTTCCTTGATCTTTGGCCTCCATCGCCTTCATCACTTCCTCAAAGGAAGCAGGAGTTGACTCATCTTCAGAGAGCTCAAGAGAAAATATTGGTTTAGTGATCTCAGATGGGTCAGAGGCGTCGATGCTCTTGCTAATGGACGGTGTGGGTGTTGCAACATCAGCATTCTTCTGAAAAATCTGAGCGATTCGACCAGCGAATGTCATCTGAGAAGAAGCATCTTCTGATCTTGAAGGAGAAGCACAAGTGGAGGGATCAGGAGGAGATTCAAGTCCAAACTCGAGACTCCTCGAAGCAGAGGCATTATGATCCTCACTAGACTTCAAATCAAGAAGCGAATTCTTCTGACTGAAACATATGCTCAAAAGTATTTCACCTGAAAAGGAAAGGAAAATGAAAATTCCAAAACTTTGCCTAAATGACATGTCAGAGACGAGCAATCAGGAGAGGTAAGAGCAGATACCACAATCCTTTTTGGAACTTTTCTTCTTTGGGAGAAGAGGATACCAAACACTGCCGAGAGATTGATTCTCAGCATCGAAAACGAGAGAGACGGGGACTTTAACCTGCCCGACGAAGTCGTCATTGAAGTACTTATCCTCGTCGAGGACAGAGACGACGAGTTCTTCGTTCAAATCGTCGACGCCGAAGCTGAAATCGTCGGCCCATTTGGGGTTCAAGTTCTTCTTCACTACTTTGGTGCGTGACCTCTGTTTCCCGAGCTGCAATCTCACGTAAGGGTCGCTGTAGCCGTTGAGATCCATTGCCGGAAGATTCCTCGCTTCTAAGACTCGCACCTGAAGCTTCATCTCTCCAATGAAATCGAGGAACGCAAGTAGAGGGAAGGAGAAGAAAACGAAATGAGGGGAGGAAAACTCGACAATCGAGCAAAGTTTGGAAAGCGATGGTCTTTACGAGAGAGGTCCCGCCATGAATTTAATGGAAGATTGCGACGCAGATCAGAAACAACAAATCAAATGATTGACGACGATCATGGAAGGAAGAAGCTGGTTGATTTGTAGAGATTTTTGAATGAATCAATGGCGGTGGGCATTAGATAATTAGATAGATGATTATGTCGCCGGAGACTTTTTACATTGGGAACAGCTCTCCGCGTCAGGGCTTGACTTTTTGTTGTTGATGGACTTTTTCCAAAATTTCTGTTTTCAATTTGATCAGAAAAAAAAATGACGACGGCGATCATGGAAGGAAGAAGCTGATTGATTTAGTAGAGGGAGCGTTGATTCGTATTTGATCAAAAAGATCGAAAGGATTTTGATAAGTATTTGACTTTGACTCTGTTCTCGTTTTTTTTTATCTTTTTTTTTTTTTTTTATCCATCGTCCTCTCCTCGTGGTTGTTTCCTACAAAGAACATTTCTCAATATAAACCTCCTTTTTCTTTTTTCTTTTTTTTTTCTTTTTTTTTTTGCAGTAGTGCATATGATCTCACTCCCAAACTATAGGTTTAATCAAGATGACAAGATGCCACAGAGGAAGGTAATATCTTCTCCACCTTGACTCTCTTCCCTTTGGACTTATCTTATCTTTCTTGCGGTTTCTTAAAAAGAGCAAATATATACAAAAATTTTGATAGGTGAATTTGCACATTGACCTTATTAAAAGAGTTGATTACTCTAATTTTGATCTTCTAACTGTGAGATGCACTGCAAAAGCTAAAGGAAACGGTGGAACAAAGAAGAAGAGCAAGTGTATTACAGGACTTCGGGATCACATTCTTGTTGACCCATGGCGGTCTCAATCTCAAACATATAAGGCCGATTTATAATTTATCAAGGACAATGCAATCTCTTGTTCTAGGGATGGTTGGCTCTCTTTATTAACCCTTTTACCAACAAGAAATTCTACTTACCTAAGGGGCCACTCTTTTTCGACGGCTATTGCCTAGCTTACTCAGCCGCTCCTACATCAAGTAACTGTGTGGTGAATGGTGATCTCCACTCCTATACCCAAATATATTCAACCGGAGATGTTCTCATCTTTTCTTGGCGTCCTGGCTAATCCGAATGGACCACACATCGCTTTCTTGACAATGCTAAAGACACGCGCACATGGGACAAGTGTGTTTTTAGGTTTGATTTGAATGAGTTTCATGTCTTTTTCTTTTTTCTTTTTACATTGCTGTTTAAGAGGTAAACACAGGTGTTCTCAATCTGATTCTGTGACACTATCAATTATGGATTCCTTACGTGTTCTTGTAGATAATTGGAAGGAAACAAGTTAGCAGGATCTGTTCTGGAGTAACTACATACTGGAGAGATTTACGGACGATATAAACTAGTTGCTACAATAAAATGATATAAACTAGTTCTTTGAAGCAGTTCTGTGTGTAAAACTCTAGTTAACGACTTAACGCGCGAATGTATGCAAGGATTTGAAGACTGTCAAAAGAAATCGAATTTAGCTAATGTACCGACGAGTTTGGTTTAATTCATGGTTATCCTCTGCCAAATGACCAAATTGCCCTCAACAAAATACACACCCAAAACCCTCCGTCTTGAGTTTCTTTCTGCCTGTAGATGCTATATAATGGTAATCATGTTATTCTCGTGTTATTGAGAACAATTTGTTGTCTGATTTAGGCAGTCCAAAGGCTGGAATTGGATGCGAGTGCCAAACTTAGAGCCACACAGAAGAACATTTCGAGGGCAGATTCCACCAACAAACAAAAGATCTGAACCACTTGTTATGTACTTTTTTATGAACTTGTTGTGTCAGACATAGTTGTTCTTATAACATGTGGTGTCATGATATTATCGGGAACAAGCAGAAAATAAACCGAAATTTTTGGACCAAAGCAAAATAATCATTTAACAAAGTAGCTTCACTATGAAATAACATACAGATCACAGGGTCACAGAGATCAATGGTCCAGTAACTTGACAAGTATGGCCTGTTCCAGCAGACAAAAAGGTATCACCAAGTTGAAATCAGTTTACAAAAAAAATTAAAGGAAAGAAAAGGGAGCAAAAGGGAGACTTACGGGGCAACACGCATGAGATCTCATTCCCTGATGAAGCTCAGAGGCTGATATCAAAAGCTTCATGGGACGGTACTCACCCGTCTGAGTCTGTCCTCTAGTCTCTGCGTAGCTTATAACTTCTCGCTCTCTCAGGTGCTCAAATGCCTGTCATGCCAACCAATTTAGACAACCAACCACATTTAAACCATGTCATCTATATGAGAGCTATGCACATACATACCCGTAGGCAGACATTTTGCGCGTAGTAATCCGATGTTTGAAATGAATCGTGTATCGTCTTATACTCTGCAACACAAACGAACTCCCAAATCATTCTCATAGAGACGCAACGCAACCAGCAGTTTTCTTAAGCCAAATTCATAGATTACCTTTCATCACACTGATGAAGTTGTATGAGCTTTGCTCTTTCACTTCTAACCTCCTCATGCATACCAGGAGATAAAGCTCCAGTACCGAACAATCTGCTCACAATAATTGATTTTTATTCCCAACGAAAATGTATAAGCAACACTGTGGTTTAGTCTTCTCTAGTTTGCTTAATATTACCTCTAATGGCTTCCAACTTCGGTTGCCTTTGCATACTTGAAAGTGCTGCTTTGAAGTTCTCAAGAGAGAGGAGCCCAGATTCCATATTCATAAAAGAAACAGCGCGGAATCTAACATCCAAAAAATACCCTCAATACAGAGGAATGGCAGTTTTTAACAAGAAACAACTCACTCTTGCACATTAAATACTTACATAAACTTCACCAAACTGTTGACGGTGGAATTGGCGTTAAGAAATGTCCTCAGCATGTCTTTAAATCTTGTGTCTGATGTTATACTCTACACATCAAGCATTTTTTTAATTGGATACTATCAGTGCCATCATATAATAGCTAAATCATAGCATAGTACTGATTCGGCCTGGATGACGTTAGAGAGAACCTTAATCTTTTCACTGAACTGAGAAATATATCCAATGGGGAAGCTTGAGTCTGCTGGTAGAGAGAAGAGGTGTTCCAATAAACTGGAAATATGGTTCCTATTAATAAAACAATTTCATCTGAAGAAAAATTTCCTGCTCGTTACAGAACAGAAGCTGCTCATTACCTCTCAATTTCTTCCCTAGACGGAGGAAGAAAAAGTATTTTCCTGTGTGAAAAGCGAGATCTCACCCTTTTCTCCAGAAGTTGGTCGGCGTCCTGTGGTGTGATATTGCATATTATAAGATTCTGAAACCAGAGTACTGTCATCAAACATAAAAATCATGTATATCTGTATTGCCATGCCCATACCAGTCGAGAACTGATACCAATGACAACAGCTTGTGATGTCACTGATTGCATAGCATCCAGCAAACTGTACAGCAACCGCTGCTTTCCCTATATATAACCAAATAATACGGTGAGTGGAGAGAAAGCACCAATTTTCTTGGTTTCATTAAAGAATCTACTCTACTTTCAACCCTTAGAATGACCTCTATGTTACTAGGGTAAAAGTAAATTTATCAGCGGGAAAACGAGTTAAAATTCAGAACTCTTGCCTGTGCAAACATGTCAAATTCATCAAGCACAAAGATGATCGTCTTATGTGCTAGTCCACATTCCCTGAAAAATCTCAATCAGTTGTCTTGAATCGAATATCAACACAACAAAAAGGGCATATATACTGACCGCAGCATGGCTATTATGAACTGTGAATTCTCATCGAATGATGCCTGAAAATGCAACAGATAGAGAGAATCAGGCTATTTGTATAACATTGGCTAAACAACTAAGAGCTATATAATGTACATTTGGAGATTAACAAATGCCATACCATTTTGGAGAAGAGCAAGTGGTGCTCCATGCACAACTGTCTTGCAATTTCCTGAAACAATCAAAGTAAGTCGCCCATATATTAAATCCACTGTGAACTAGACTATACGGAGATCCGTTGAATGTGATGCATTAATATAGTGATCAGACCTTGAATGCACAATTGTCATCACTATGCAAGAGTCCATTCAATTTGATCTGCATCAACAGAAGGTGATAGTTATGTTAAGATGGAGATAGGATGATTCCTAATGTAGATGCATATACTAAATCACACATACTACTGAAACTGAATCGGGATACTCTTCCAATGTATCACTAACAACGAGATCCAAGACCTGAAAAATCATTTTAAAATTTAACAAGTCAAAACGCCGCGAACGGAGAAGAGAGAGAGAGAGAGAGAGAGAGAGAGAGAGAGAGAGAGAGAGAGAGAGAGAGAGAGAGAGAGAGAGAGAGAGAGAGAGAGAGGAGAAGCAGTGTTGGAGGAGCATACAGCAGATTTTCCAGAGCCGCGAGGGCCCAGAAGCAAGATTGAATTGTTACAGCCTTCCGTGATAGAGTTCGATACAATGAACTTCAACTTGCTAAAACAGACGGATTTTTAGGGTAAGCAAATGAAATCCAATTTTACGGAATTTTAGAACCAAATTAATCAATCGAACCTGTAGTTACTTTCCGAAGAAGAGGAAAGAGGTCTGAAGACAAAAGTAGGATCGCAGAGCCTCCCGCGAATCAGATTCAGGGATTTCTCCGCCGGATTCTCTTTGCCCATCGGAGAAAGTTGGAAACCTGGCGGGAAACTGACTCGTGCCGTTTCAGTGAACCGCGTAACTCTAGTATTAAAATGTAAGTAAATGGGCTGTAAATGGGCCTTTGCTTTTCTCTAAACGGTGTCGTTTCAAAGTTTGTGATGGAAGTGTTAACACAACAAAGAGAGAAGAAAGGATTGGGTTTTGTAAATTTCATGAAGGCGAAGGAAACTCGACCGGAACCAATCGTTCTCTGAGGCTCTTGCAAGCAATAGCAGACGAGAGGATTGATTGATTCTAGGTATTGAAGAAGCGATGGGCAGCACAAGCACGAGCTCTGCTGCTTTAATCCACCATTTTCGGCTCACCAGTCGCAACTTGAGCTCGCCGAAAAAACGTCCGTACGCTGTAAATTTCTGCAATTCGTGGAGGGAAGCTGGACTCCGGCACGGCGTGACGCGACGGTGGAGCAAAGGCTTAGGTCCGGTGGTTCGCTTGGCAGCTCTCGATGAAAAGTCTGACGATTCGCCGACGGAGACCACCCCTGGCGTTGGCTCTGCTGTAGAAGATAGACCAGGTATCAAAAGCTCCGGTTTCTTATTTGTAATTGGCACAAGAGTTTTTGAAAATTGATGAATCAAAGCTTGTCATTTGATATTTATTTATATTGCACAGCTGTGGAAGATGTATCCATTGAGCAAGAAGATAAATCAAGTTCGATCTATGAGTTTCTGTATCCCCGTAAAGAGGAGCTTCCGGATGACAAGGAAATGACTATATTCGATCATCTGGAGGAGCTGAGGGAGAGAATATTCGTCTCGGTTTTGGCCGTGGGAGCTGCAATCACGGGATGCTTTGCCTTCTCCAAGGATCTAATCGTGTTTCTTGAAGCTCCTGTCAAAACTCAGGGTGTACGGTTTCTACAGCTAGCTCCTGGCGAATTTTTCTTCACAACTTTAAAGGTCGCTAGAATGAAGACAGTTAAAAGTGACTGCTTGTTACTCGAAGGAACAAGAAAGATGATTTGTTTTCTTCTTTCTTTTGTTGTGGTGCAGGTCTCGGGTTATTGTGGGCTTCTACTAGGGAGTCCAGTGATCTTGTATGAGATAATAGCTTTTGTGCTTCCCGGTTTGACACGAGCTGAGAGGAGGTTTCTGGGGCCAATAGTGTTTGGCTCCTCCTTGCTCTTCTATGCTGGACTTGCCTTCTCTTACTGGGTTTTAACCCCTGCAGCCTTGAATTTCTTTGTGAATTACGCAGAAGGCGTAGTGGAATCTTTGTGGTCTATCGACCAGTACTTTGAGTTTGTGCTAGTGCTCATGTTCAGCACCGGCCTTTCTTTCCAGGTACTGTATGTGGTGATGAGAATATTTGTTACATGTTTTCAAAACATTGCTTTAGCCATTTTCACCTGGAATTTTGCATCTTGCTGGTTTTACAGGTTCCGGTTATTCAGTTACTCTTGGGGCAAGTTGGGGTGGTGTCGGGAGATCAAATGCTGTCGATTTGGAGATATGTGGTGGTTGGTGCGGTGGTTGCGGCAGCTGTACTTACGCCCTCGACAGACCCTGTCACTCAAATGTTACTAGCAACGCCGCTTCTTGGGCTCTACTTGGGTGGTGCATGGATGGTCAAGCTCACAGGTCGGTGAAACAACTTGGCTTGTAATAAAAACCATGTATCTTGTAGAGTATATGTTCACTTTTTCATGCAAGAGACCACAGCTTGGTACCTAAACGTTAATCTGATGCTCAAATGCCTGTCATGTATATGGTTGGAAAATAGTGAATTTTCGTAAACATTTCAGAGTTGGAAAATAGTCATAATTTTCTAGCAATATTGTACCGTTGTTTATCCGCGTGAATTGGTTCTTGAAAGATGAAGATAATTAGTGAAAAGAAGTGCCACAATTGTAATTCAACACAACAACATTCTGTTTTCGGAGACGTTACCACAACAATTACTTCTGAAATGGTGTGAATTAAAACAAATACGCTCGTTTTCCATTCTCACGTATCGATCTTGTGCCCTCATTTCTCATCAGTCTCAATTCTCGAATGCCTTGTCCTTGTCACTTCTCCCTCTTCCTCGCTTGAAGACTCTACCGATCGAGGCCTTTTACGCTGCCTTCTCTTTCTACTCTTCCCGCTATCCTCCGAGTCGCTGGATGAGGCTGAACCTCTGCTGCGCCTGTGATACTTGCCACGTTTTCTTCTTCCTCTCTCTTCCTCGCTATCACTTGAAGTGACCACCTCACTGTGCCTGTGATGCTTCACATGTCTTCTTCTCACATCTTCGGCATTGTCATCACCATAAGTCTGTCTTGAGCTATGCGACTTGTGTCTACGGTGGTGCCTCCTGAGCTCGTCCTCTGACCCGCTTTCATACTCGTCACTGCTATCATCGCTTGGACTTGAGGACCTTCTCCTATGCCTCCTGGATCTCTTCTCTTTCCTCCTATCACTGTCATCTGAATCAACGTGTGCATGTCTTCGGTGCTTGCTGTGACTTCTTCTAGACTTTCTTCTCACCTCAGAGCTAGTATCACTTTCAGAGCTAGATTCAGAGGCACCCCTGTGTTTTCGCTTACTGCCCTTTGACTTCTTTTCTTTGGTCTCCGTAGCGTTTGCAGCAGCCTCCAGCTTCTGCTGCCATTTCAGAGGAGCTTCTTTCTTCTCCAGAAGTTTTCTCTTCTTCTCCTCCACCATCTGGATGAACTTCTTGCAGTCCATTTGGATTCAAAAACCGGCTGAAAATCTGCATTTTGGTATGAATTTAACCAAAAGTGCATCTCACAAAAGAGAAGAAGAAAAACAATGTTAGCTCTTCCATCATCAGTTAATGACATTAGCAACACAATAATATTGACTTCTTGAAGACCAATCCAGCCAAAGAACACAAGACTAGCTATAAAACAACTCTCCTAGAGAAGGGATAAAATAACACTTAAAAGCAAATTCCAGTTGTCTAATTAGGGTTTAGCATTCCTCCAACGAATTAGAAAGATGAATCTCACTAAATCTGAACCAAACTTCTTACCTGATGCGAGTGAGAGAGGTAAGAAGAGCCCAAGAGAAGAGGCGATCCTCCAGAGAGCTACGAGGGCCAAGTTAAACTCCAACGATAGCGAATCTGCAAAAAACAATTCATATTTATGAGCGCCTCACTCCAATTATTAAAGAATCTAAGCCTATAACTATATCTACGATAGCCTGAGGCACTACGAACGACGATGAACCAAATCGACGGCTTGAATGGATCGGAAAAAAAAAAAACCCAATTGGAATTCAAAACAACAAAAAATATAAGGGGAAATCGCAATTCAGATCCGAAAGATAGATCATCAATTAGGGTTAGATACTTATTTTAAATAGGAGATCTGAAATCTGAGAGATGTTACCGTAAGGAGAGGAACAGAGGTGAGAAGACAAACGTTTAGGGCTTGGCTTTTTTCGTCTCTTCTCTTTGGGGAATAGTCTTCGACAGAGCGTCTCGTAATAAATTTCGCGTGCTATATATGAAAGCAGGGGAAACCACATTAACCTAAATTGCGTACCGTTTATTTAAAAAGCCCAAGCACGTCGTGCCGTTTATTGGATAGTGTGTTTTAATGTATTTTTTAGAGCAACGAGGTGGTTCACCTGTCAACTGCATAACTTCATAGTTTAATGAACAAAATTATGGCTCTGAATCGTTTAGTGGGTCCATGATCAAATGGGAGGAATAAAAAGTAATGAAATTTGATTATGGACCCACTAAATTGAGTGGTATGTTTCGAGAAAATTATACTCATGTGGACTTTTTGAGTTTGACTTTACACTTTGAGAGACTTTGTGAAAGTGGTGGACTTTGTCCACCCAAATTTACTTAGCTACCCCTCTTTTTCTTTCACATTTACGATAACTGTATTTTCACTTTTAACATTTACTAACATTTACGATAAATTCACTCATCTTCTCCGAAACAATAAATTCACTCCGGCGTTGTTGTTGCCGGACGTGTCACTTGAAATCACTCGGACGTGGGTCGTCGCCGGAGTTGAGTGGGAGGAATAAAAAGTAATAAAATTTGATCATGGACCCACTAAATTGAGTGGTATGTTTCGGTAAAATTACACTCACATGGACTTTTTGAGTTTGGCTTTACACTTTGAGAGACTTTGTGAAAGTGGTGGACTTTGTCCACCCAAATTTACTTAGCTACCCCTCTTTTTCTTTCACATTTACGATAACTATATGTTCACTTTTAACATTTACTAACATTTACGATAAATTCACTCATCTTCTCCGAAACAATAAATTCACTCCAACGTTGTTGTCGCCGGACGTGTCACTTGAATTCACTCGGACGTGGGTCGTCGCCGGAGTTGAGTGGAAGGAATAAAAAGTAATGAAATTTGATCATGGACCCACTAAATTGAGTGGTATGTTTCGAGAAAATTACACTTAGGTGGACTTTTTAAGTTTGGTTTTACACTTTGAGAGACTTTGTGAAAGTGGTGGACTTTGTCCACCCAAATTTACTTAGCTACCCCTCTTTTTCTTTCACATTTACGATAACTGTATTTTCACTTTTAACATTTACTAACATTTACGATAAATTCACTCATCTTCTCCGAAACAATAAATTCACTCCGACGTTGTTGTCGCCGGACGTGTCACTTGAATTCACTCGGACGTGGGTCGTCGCCGGAGTTGAGTGGGAGGAATAAAAAGTAATGAAATTTGATCATGGACCCACTAAATTGAGTGGTATGTTTCGAGAAAATTACACTCACGTGGACTTTTTGAGTTTGGCTTTACACTTTGAGAGACTTTGTGAAAGTGGTGGACTTTGTCCACCCAAATTTACTTAGCTACCCCTCTTTTTCTTTCACATTTACGATAACTGTATGTTCACTTTTAACATTTACTAACATTTACGATAAATTCACTCATCTTCTCCGAAACAATAAATTCACTCCAATTTTGTTGTCGCCGGACGTGTCACTTGAATTCACTCGGACGTGGGTCGTCGCCGGAGTTGAGTGGGAGGAATAAAAAGTAATGAAATTTGATCATGGACCCACTAAATTGAGTGGTATGTTTCGAGAAAATTACACTCAGGTGGACTTTTTAAGTTTGGTTTTACACTTTGAGAGACTTTGTGAAAGTGGTGGACTTTGTCCACCTAAATTTACTTAGCTACCCCTCTTTTTCTTTTACATTTACGATAACTGTATTTTCACTTTTAACATTTACTAACATTTACGATAAATTCACTCATCTTCTCCGAAATAATAAATTCACTCCGACGTTGTTGTCGCCGGACATGTCACTTGAATTCACTCGGACGTGGGTCGTCGCCGGAGTTGTACAGTCGTCGCGATTTCTCTGCCCGTGGAGCGTTGGCAAATTGTGCCGGAATCAATCTCCCCGCCGTTGTCAATTTTGACGGTTCGTTCCAACCCATCTTCCGATCAAACGCGGAGGCCATTTGCCCTTAACTAAATTGCTATTTCCCAGTTTACCCGATGCCCAACTCATATGCCGAATTGCTATTCCCCAATTTGCTTCCTACACAACTCTGTGAATATTATGGTCAGATGGTGTTGTCAAATTCCAGCATGTTCCTCCTCCATTATCACATTATTTTTTTGTCGTACAAGGAGTAATTGTCCAATTCATTTCAGTAGTTGTGTTATAATCTGTAACTAGAGGTACAGACCAAACGAATGCATCCAGTTTTGATATGGATACTAGTTTCCAGTTTAAACATTTTTAAACTGGAATCTCATGTGGATAGTTGTTATGTGGATAACACTCGCATGGAGAATAACAATTGGGGAATAAAATGACAGATGATATTGAAAGCTTAATGGAAGCATCTGTTTAGCATGGGAAGATTGGATTCTGCCAACTGTTCTAAAAGAGTACGAGATCGAGGTTTCTTGGTCAGGTGATGTTTTCTTCTCAATGGAGTCCCACTCATTTACCCAGATCTTTACGTCAACGAATGGATTGCTGTTCATGGCATTAATGAAATGATCGTACCACAAGCTATGAAGCCTAAGATTGGAGAAGAAGAAGATATTCATCAATATGAATAGACTTATGAAAAGACTAATCTGTTTTACCTTCTCTCTGGTTTTTCTTTTTCTTTAGGCCAAAGAAGTTTCTTGCTACTGCAGCATTTGTAATAAAACTTTCCTTTTGGTAATATATTTAGTTTTATCCAAAAAAAAAAGATGTTCATCAAGAATACTCTTCTGAGTTAGGTGACTATAATAATCTTCACTGATTTGTCTGTACATTTTGATTCAACACAAGTAAAGAATCCTAACACAAATTTGATTCAACACAAGATCCTAACACAATTTTCTGATTCTTTGTTCTTAAAATTTGTAACAAAGAGAAACTCTTCAATTTGAAAAATGTATAAAGAGTTTTCTGATCCTTATAGATTCTTATTGCGAGTGTTACTGCCTCGGTGGTGCCGGAGAGGCATCTGAGATTAAGCAAATAGGATCCAAGTAATAATGCCAATGGCTAAGATGATCCAAATACATCATACTTGAGATCACTGTTTTTCTTTGACTTCATAGTCTGTGAGGAAATGAAAACATATATGTTTTAGATTTCAACAAACCAATTTTGGATATTTTAGTAAAAGAAAAGACCTTTGAACTGGAGTTGGACTAAAGATGGTCCAGCGCGCTGCTTAACGATCCTGGACGTAAACCATGTTTGTGAACCTCTGTATGTGGTTCTGGAGCCTGAAGAGTAGAGACAAGTAAAAATTGATCTTAAAAACAAACCCAAAGATGCATAACCAGTTTTGCTTCACTGTACAATATGTTGTTCTGAAACTAGACAAATTTGACTATGGGCCAATAAACATAATTCAGAAGATTCATTATTACAAAGACAACTTGAGGAACCATTACAAGAACCATGCTTATTGTTTTCTTTTGTTATGGTGATAGATGATAGATAAAGATGTACCTTAGAATCCAATTGCAATGATCTCTGATAGTGTTCGTTCCTGAAAAAACATCATGTCGGGATCAATCAATCACTTTGGCAAACTGTCCACATTTATATCGTACACGAGCAAACTGTGGATGGTGGAATTCAATCGTACATGTCCAAGAATGTAAGTGTACAAATCCAAATAGTACAACAACAACAACTTTTTCTAGGATGCTTCAACTCGTTCAGATCCATTGCAAAAGAAACAAAATCACAAGACAAAAAACTTAGCAAATTTGCTTAATAATGCTTTCAGGTCCGGTGACATAAATTTTGTCCTAGTTATTTTCTCCGGCCACAAAACGCATCACACATACGGAGAGTATATTGAAATATATATGAATATATCAAACCAAGTTAAAAATAGATATCCCAAGGTAAAAAGTATCCATCATAATTCATTAAGGGTGTATTTGTAAAATCAAGTCACAAGGAAACAAAAGAAAGTCCACCTCTATCAATAAGTCCCTCTTTGTGTTATGAAACTCATAAAAGTTTGCCATAGTGTAATTCACTCGATATGTTTTCCACCTCTTTTATGTGGTGGGAAGATTTCAGTGAAAAAAAAATTAAAATACTTGATAACAAAAAAATGTTTACTCCATTTTACTCCAATTGCATTTACTCCACTTTACTCCAAGTGGTTTACCATTCACAGCTTATATGGTAGATATTAATCATTTTTAGCTTTTATATTATGAATATACTAGTAGAGGACCCGCGCAAACGCGCGGTGTGACGTTGCGATTTTGTGAAGAAAATCTAAATCCCAAACCCGAGTCCTACCCAAAAACCCTAACCAAAATTAAAAGAAAAAAAAAAACAAACCTTTTTAATATGTTTAAACCTGAACCCGAAATCCAAAAAATCCTGAAAACCCTGAACCGAATAAAACAAAACTCAAAACTTTTTCACCCGAAACCCGAACCCGACCTAAAAACCCTAATAATTTTTTTAAAATACCCTAACTTTTTTAATATGTCTAAACCCGAAAACCCGAAATCCAAAAAATCCAGAAAACTCTGAACTAAACCAAAAAAAACTCGAACCCAAACCGAACAGAAATTTTCAAAAAAAACCCGCCAGAAATCCACAGTTTGATTTAAATTGGACGTATTTCTATTTCACTATTGGAAATTTTGCAAATATCATTCGATCATATTCTATTGATTTGGTATTATGGATATATTATGTTAATTTTTCTTTTTTTGTAGATTTTTTTAAGAGGTGGAAAACGGAAGTTTTCTAAACCATCGGTTTGTTTTAAGTTATTATTCTTGTATCCAAACAATTTTTTCCATTTATTCTTCTATCCAAATAGATTTTTGTCTTATTTTTGTATCCAAACATTATATTGTACTCTTTTTTTCCATTTGATTTTCTATCCAAATAGATGTTTCTCTTATTCTTATATCCAAAAATTAGAATGTACTTCTCAATTAATAATATAATAAAGACTAGTAGAGGACCCGCGCGAACGCGCGGTGTGACGTTGCGGTTTTGTGAAGAAAATATAAATCCTAAACCGAGCCAGACCGAAAAACCCCTAATAAAAAATTTTAAAAACTCAAACCTTTTTAATATATCTAAACCCGAGAACCCAAAATCCAAAAAATCCCGAAAACCCTGAACCGAATAAAAAACTCGAAACTTTCTCACCCGAAACCCGAACCTGACCTTTTTTACTATGTCTAAACCCGGAAACCCGAAATCCAAAAAATCCGGAACACCCAGAACTAAACCCATAAAAAACTCGAACCCAAACCGAACATAAATTTTCAAAAAAACCCAAAACAGAAATCCTCAATTTGATTTAAATTAGACGTATTTCTATTTTACTATTGGAAATTTTGCAAATATAATTCGATCATATTCTATAGATTATGTTAATTTTTATTTTTTGGAAATTTTTTAAGAGCTGGAAAACGGAAGTTTTCTAAACCATCGGTTTGTTTTAAGTTATTATTCTTGTATCCAAACAATTTTTTCCATTTATTCTTCTATCCAAATAGATTTTTCTCTTATTCTTATATCCAAACAATTTTTGTTTTCATTTATTCTTCTATCCAAATAGATGTTTCTTTTATTCTTGTATCCAAACATTAGAATGTACTTCTCAATTAAGGGCTGTTTTCAAAAGTAGTACAAAATTGAGGTCAAATGCAAAAGTAGTTCACTCTTTTTTTCTTCCTTGTTTATCCTCACATAATTGTGATAATAACGAAAATGCCATTACTTTCGCTTTGAAGTCTAACCGTGAAGTCTAACACTCGAAAAAAAGTCCAAAGAAACCTCATCTTCTTCATTTATTCACGAAAATGCCATCACCATCAATTCGTCCAACAACCATTCTCAACCGAAATCAAGCTTTCAATGCACGATGTACTCTTCAAACATATATACAAACTCATTATATCATCTCATAAACTTGTATTGGTCAATTTCTCTCAATTTTCACCCCAAGAATACACATTTTCATCTTTTCAAAGTTTATGTTCTTAGATCTTCCCATTTTTGGTGTGGGAGATCATTATAACGGTTGGGGAAGTTTGCTAAAGCTCTAAATCGAAGTTATAGGCCGTCAACGAAACATAAGATCACGGCAAGGTAAATTTCCGGTAGATCTGAGTGAATCTCATATTTTTGCAGGTCCTTAGACTTCATAGCGAAGTCTAAAAAACTAGTTTTGCAATTGATTTTTCAAAAAATTTAGAGAGTAGACTTCACAATGAAGTCTACCCATATTCCTTTGAAAACAAAAAAATATGGCGTAGGCTTCAGAATGAAGTCTACTCGAAAAGATTAGTTTTGCAATTGACAGAATAAAAACTTTTTATGGGAAATCTATCTGTGAAGTCTGCTTGAATAAAAGACTAGTTTTGCAAACTTTAAGTAGTTTGTTTTATCGTGAAGTCTACCCCTGAAAGTCTATTAATGTTGTATTAGGCTTCATTCAAAGTCTAATACTGGGTTAGACTTCATTTCGAAGCCTAATTCTTGATAGACTTCACCAAGAAGTCTAATAGTCAACGTTTGTCGGAGTAGACTTCACGATGAAGTCTATTTTCCTAAATTCAAAAATTGGACCAATTGCAAAACTAATCCCTATGAAGTCTAATTGTTGTTGTAGACTTCGATAGACTTCATTATGTAGTTAGACTTCACCGATAGACTTCATTCTAGTTAGACTTCATTTTTAAGCCTATTCACGATAATGAAGTCTATTTGTAAAAGTCAAAGCTTGGTCAATTGCAAAACTAGTCTTTTTTTTTCGGTAGACTTCACGTGTAGACTTCATAAAAAAATTGTCATTTGAAAAATTGCAAAACTAGTCTATTAGACTTCACAAGTAAGTATACTAAATAGACTTCCTCGTGAAGTCTACTATTTAATGTTTTATTTGAAAACGCTTTTTTGGAAAATATATAAGGAATTTTTAAGATTTCTTGAACAATTAGTTGATTTAGTCTGATTAGTTGCTGGTGTGTTAGTTTGACATGCTTATTCGTTGTATAGCTCGTGAAAACGGTTTTCTTGTGAAATTTGAATATTAGACAATACTAGGTAGACTTCTAGGTGAAGTCTACCATAAAGTCTATCAATGAAGTCTAATGCGGTTGTTTTTGTTTACTTGCAGGAAATGGTTTACATTGCATCTGTTTATGGAGAATGGGTGATAAAGGACAATTTGTCTTGGCATTTTGAGGTTGATTATCGGAAAGGAGGTAGAATGTTCTCGTTGAGGGATGGATGTACACATGATGAGCTCATTCAAATGGCTTTAGAGGATTATTCGCTAACCAAGATCGGACACCGTTTGGAAATATCATATCCATTACCAGAAGTGTTCACTCAGCAAACGTGTAATGATTCTCCGCCCATGTTTGTCACAAACGACAGACAAGTCGAAAGCTTGATCGAGCTAAGTAGAAATCATGGTGTACGACTTTGTGTCTCTAGCAAAGGGAAGGATGAAGACAACGTAGATGGACCTTTGGATGAAGACTTAGATGAAAATCTGGATGATGAGTTGAAGGAAGAGTTCGATGAAGAGTTGGATGAAGATTGGAGCGCAGAACGAGAAGAAGTGTCTGAAGAGTCGGGTTGTGATGAGGATGATGTAAGGGAAAAAGCTTATGAAGGCGATGATGACACACACGCGGACTACAGTCAGTATGGGAAAATTAAAGATGAAGACGTTGTCATTGATGTTCCTTTCGATGATCCCCGCCTTTTAGGGCGTGGTGTGGGTCATCGTATAGGAATTGATAATTGGGAAGACAATATTTACGAGCACCAGAGCTTTGATACCAAGGCCCAACTTATCTCTGAGTTGCGTTTGACCGCGGTGATGACAAGATTCTCATTCAGGATAGCTGCGTCTACAAGAAAAGTGTTTGTGGCCAAATGCAAAGTCGCTGGATGCAAATGGAGGCTTAGAGCGGCCGTAAAGAACGAACCCTCCACGTTTTGGGTGACAAAGTACGTGAAGTCGCATACATGTTCTGTTTCTGATCGAGTACGTAACCATAAACGTTGTACAACGAAGTATATTGGAAAGCTTTTTCTTGATCGGACAGGGCTCATTGAAGGAATTGTGCCGCAACACATAAGAGACTCTATGAGGAGGATGTTTGGAATGAAGCTCGACTATACGGCTTCATATAGAGCTTTGAAACATGCCCAAGACTTGGTGTGGGGAACAGCTGAAGAAGGATACGCGAATCTGCCTTCTTACTTGCAAAGAATCAAGGATGCAAATCCGGGAACTGTGACTGACCTTGTCTGTGACTCACAGGACCGTTTTAAGTACTGCTTTCTATCACTCGCCGGTTCTATATCTGGTTTTCAGTATTTGAGGAGAGTGATTGTGGTTGATGGGACTCATCTTACTGGGAAATACGGAGGAGCTCTACTCGTGGCTGCCGGACAAGACGCCAACTTTCAAATATTCCCGCTAGCTTTCGCAGTGGTCGATGCTGAGGATAGTGAATCATGGGAATGGTTTTTCAACAAGCTTAGAGATTGTTTCAGGCAATTTCCGCCAATGGCGATAGTCTCTGACCGTGCCGCTGCCATAGCTAGAGCCATTGGAATCGTTATGCCCTGGGCATCAAGAGGAATATGCTACTATCACCTCCAAGGTAATATAGTAAAGGACTTCCACGCAAAGGAGATAATGTATATGGTTAAAGGTGCAGCCTACGCCCATACGGTGCCTGAATACGACCGTTACATGGACCTCATAAGAGCTGCGAACCCTGCCCTAGCTACTTACTTAGAGACCTCGCAGATCCGAAGTTATGGTCGAGAGTTCATTTTGAAGGTGATAGATACAATATAAAGACGAGCAACATCGCAGAATCTATTAACTCGGCTGTCAAGAAAGCAAAAGGATTACCTATTCCTCGTCTTTTGGAGTTTATTAGGGAGAAGCTCGGGAGATGGTTTAGCAAGAGGCGGGAGGATGCACTGAGTCTCACAACCAGACACAGCAGAGGTGTTGAGTACATATTGGCCATACGGTCTTACTATGCGGGAAGTATGATCGTAGATCGCATAGACGCTTGGCGCTTTCATGTTAAAGGCGGGAGACGAGATTGTAATGTCGACTTGGAGAATCGAACATGCTCGTGCGGTGTGTATAACGTTGAAAAAATCCCTTGCTCTCATGTTATTGCAGCTGCAGCCGAAGCTAACGTCGACATGTCCTATTACGTATGCGCCACTCATTCGACGCCTTCCTTGTTCTCAACATATGCACATCCGATTTACCCCAAAGAGGGAACTGACTCCCACGTGAAGCCTGTTCGCTGTTTGCCTCCAGGGGAGAGTGTCCCTTCTGGAAGGCCGAAGAAGTCGAGGTGGCAAACTTGGCTAGAGATGTCTAGGAAGAAAAACACAAAACCGAGGAAAACGCATAAGAAGTACAGCTGCTCTAAGTGCAAGGAACCTGGTCATACTCGCCCCAATTGTGTAAGTTTATAAAGCTGTCCCTTCATGCTTTGCATCCACATTGAGAGGAGCTGACATCTTTCATTTTCTGCACTACACAGGTCGCTGAAGACTGACTTGTGATTTTAGTTGTTCGTGAAGTCTGCCGACGAAGTCTATCTGAAAGTCTATCTATGAAGTTTATTGTGAGTCTGGCCAATTTGTATGATTTGTGCGTGTTTTAGGTGGATGAAACGGAGAAAAACACTGGTTTTTAGTTTTCGTGAAGTCTGACACAGAAGTCTATCTATGAAGTTTACTTTGCGGCCAATTTGTATGTTTTGCGTGTTTTAGGTGGATGAAACGGATAAAAACACTGGTTTTTAGTTTTCGTGAAGTCTGACACAGAAGTCTATCTTTAAGTCTATCTATTAAGTTTACTTTGCGGCCAATTTGTATGTTTTGTTCGTGTTTTAGGTGGATGAAACGGATAAAAACACTGGTTTTTAGTTTTTCGTGAAGTCTGACACAGAAGTCTATCTATTAAGTCTATCTATTAAGTTTACTTTGCGGCCAATTTGTATGTTTTGTTCGTGTTTTAGGTGGACGAAACGGATAAAAACACTGGTTTTTATTTTTCTTGAAGTCTCACAGTTAAGTCTATGTTGCAAGTCTATCTGTGAGGTTTACTTTGTGGCCAATTTGGAGGAAAGTATACGAAATTCAATAATAACAAAACAATAGACTTCTGAAATACAATAGACTTCTGAAATATACCAAGTGCACAATATACCAAAACAATAGACTTCTGAAATGTGAAGGCCGATCAGCGATAGATTACAAAAGAATAATTAGCCTACACCCATCATCGGGTTAAAGAGCATTAGTTTAGATTACACCTACACCTTTCATAATCTCTCGTCATACAAATCGACATTGTCCCAATCATCTGGGTCCTCGACCGGTCCACGGCAGTTGATCTCATGGTACATATCAGACGCAATCTGCTCCCTAAACATGGTGATGTTTTTCTGACACAACGTCTTCGGAAATGCGGCATATCCGACTGCCAGGCACTCGATGAACTTGAGGACAAACACGCCACAATCTCCAGCCCCCACTTGCTGCGGCACATCCTTACTCGGACGGCTGTGCGTGTACTTCGCATCGAAGTAGACGCATTTGTCCTCAGCCTGAGCCGCGGAGTGCATAAGATTCGGCATCATCACCGCATAGGGTTCCACCAACAAGTCCATTTCCGCATCATCGAGCCAGTCCACCATACTGTCGTAGATGGTAATGTGCCTTTTGGGTATGGAGACATGCAGCGCGACCCAATGCTTATTCTTGATATTCAATGGAATGAATAAATCATCAACATCATAACCCCATCGCTTATTGCTGGGCTGGCTTTTCGGGAGATTACCAAAGTACCAGTCCAGCGAATTAGGAGGCAGCATTTGACATCTCTGAAACCTGGGCCAGTCCCTTTCCCAAGAAATTTTTAAACAACTCTGGTCGCGTTGCTAGGCGGTGAGTCATCATGGTGGCCCAGGACTTCATATGCTGCAATGGAAACAAAGAATTCGACTATGAGGACTAAATATGAAGTCTATGTCATAAGTCTAACAGTGAAGTCTACTTGTGAAGTATATTTACGAAGTCTAACAATAGAACGTACGCTATCCGATAGCCATTGAAACCCCGTGAGCAAAGTAAACCACCAGTGCCATTCCGGGTAATCGAACTTGTCCGGCTCCAGCGCTGTAGCTGCAGAATAACCCCTGAAACATTGGTAAATTCTCGTAAGCCTCTATAATTTGGTCAAACAACGAAGAGACAAAAGAGTTTAGGGGCTCACGGTAATCCGGAGACGAATGCCCGCATTGGTGTTATCCTTTCCTCGAGAGGTCGAGCAAATGGATTATACCCTAGAGGTTCATTGCCACCGGTTGCTTTCTTAGGTTCAGGTGCTTTCTTAGGTTCAGGTGCTTTCTTAGGAGGTGCTTTCTTCGGATTAGCTGCTTTCTTCGGAGGAGGTGATTTCTTCGGATCTGCTTTCTTCGGATTAGCTGCTTTCTTCGTAATAGCTGCTTTCCTCGGTTTAGAGATGATCTTAAGTGATTTCGGTGGGGAATTGGGTATCTCCGGGGGGTTGTTTAGGATGATCCTTCTAGCGGTGCTGTTTCCTTGGAACTCACCTTTCTGAGTAAACGCCAGCTTCCTTACTCTCTCACTTTTCCCTCTTGCCATAACATTAGCCGCCTTGATATGCTCTTCCTGTTGCCTTTTCTCTTCGGCTTCCTCAGAATCAGTTGGAATATGTGTCCGGAGCCAAGTGCAATCCGTATCTTCCTGTTAACATTGCTCAAACACAAGAGAGATAGAGAGAGACAAAACAGATAATGAGTCACTAGAAATTTGAACTTTTATTTAAACAGGAGGGAAAGTGTACAACGCAACGCAACACACTACAAACAGAAACATACACACATCACTTGTTCTTTTTCACAGCGACCCTATGACTCCTACGCACATATCTCTTTTCAACTACTTTATCTTTTAGATCTACGTGGAGAATGAACGGTACTAACCGTTCCACCAGGCGGAGCCGTCTTCCCTTCACCGGCATCGGACTTATCCGGCTCCTCATCGGACTTCTCCTCATTCTTCTTCTCCAGCTCCTCATTCTTCTTCTCCAGCTCTTCATTGGCCTTCGCAGAATCCTCATTGGACTTCGCAGTATCCTCACTGGACTTCACAGAATCCTGAGCCTGAGGATGCGAAAGCTTCTTGACAATCCTCCCTACCACAGCGACTTGAGCGGTGAGGACCTGAATCTTTTCCTGGGTCTTACTCATCTCCTCGAAGTGTTTTTTGGTGAAGTCTTTAAAAAGCTCCTCAATCTTCGCCTCAAGACCTTTCCAGCCAGCACCAGAGGCCTCCGCAGGTGAACCATCTGAGGTCCGAGCTCTTTTGACACTTATCGCTTCATCATCATCAGCCTCATCAGAGAGACTCCTCTTGCCATGAGACTTCTCTGACTTCACAGACTTCTCGGACTTCACCTTCTTAACCACCGATATCCCTTCTCTAACCCAGTCAGCTGGTTTCCACACCCATCCTCCACCAAATTCCCCAAGCAAGGCCTTGATGATGTTGTCCACCTTCTCGTCATCTATTTCCTTGTCCCAACGTGGGTACACGTCTGCCTTGTCCACCATTACCATGTGATTGAAAAGCACCTGCAAAACCGTTATCAGAAAAGTCAAGAATTTTGGATATTATGATTAATATGCGGAGAGTACAAGGCAAATGAATTACCTGCTTCTTCATGGTTCCGATAACATATCTCTTCCCTCTGATTCCATTGAATGCTAGCAGCGGTGGCTCAGGATTATTTGGCCTCGGATCACCGTTTTCTTCTCCGAACCTCGGCATAGCATAGTACGCCCACACTTGCACGACTTCAGCAAAGCCTTCGAGGCTGAATGGCTTGGACACGTCTGCTTTCTTTATGGACTTGATGAGGGTCTTGAAAGCTACTCGCCCCCAGGGATAGTTTTCAAACTTCTCCAAGTCCATAACTTGACTAGCCAGTGCTACTCGTGTATGAGTGGAACTTTTGCGAGCATCAATGAAGCCAGCGTATACGGCCAAAAAACCAAGTCTCAGCCTATCCTCTCTGCTCCACTCTCCGGCCCACTGGCACGCTGCTAAGAGTTCGTCAACGCTCGGACCAAGCTTCTCATTCACACCAAGCTTCCGCCAGAACTCTTTCATCTCGTCTGTGTTAACAGTCTCTGGCTTCGTCACGCTTCTTTATACTCGCAGTTAAGCCCGGTGATGTGTTCAAACTCGTTCAGAGAAAATCGCACTGGCTGTACACCCACGGCACTCCATATCTCATACTTCTTCTTGCATGCTACTTGCATAGTGAGCATAGTCTGTGCCACCTTCGATGCCCAATTAAACTCGAGCTTCGTGAACCTGAAGAGGGGTCCCAGCTTAGAATTCTCAAGCTCATCCCATTCATCTTCAAGTGTGGTGTGCATTTGAGACCACAGTGCAGTGTTCTTGCTATAGTAGACAACACTGCGATCATAATCCGGTTCTTCTCCTTCTGTGAACAACCTCCTAGGAAATGTCACGGCGTCCATACTGAAAACACATTGAAAATATGAGAAATTAGGAGGAGTCTACAATTTTACACGGCATAAATAAAGTCTAAATATGAAGTCTAACTATGATGTCTAACTATGATGTCTAATTATGAATGTCTAACTATGATGTCTAACTATGATGTCTATCAATTCTAAAGGTGAAGTCTGTACTTTAAGTCTGCTCTACTCTAGCCAACCGCCGCTAAAGAGCGGCTAACTAAACCCTAACAATAGACTTTTACCTTATTCTTTGCGGTTATGAGGGCCAGCAACGGCGGCGGATACTACTAAGAAGCGCAACGCGGCGGATACTACTATCCGGCAACGGAGACCTGCCACAGATCTACAATCGATTAGTCCATGGTTTGAAGGGGTAAGCAGAGAGAAAAAAAGTGAAAGGGAGATAACTAACCGGCGCTGAGAGGAAGAGAATAATTGGTGCGATTTAATAGGTCGTTCGATTCCACAGCGGCAACACGGACAACGGCAACACGGACAGCGGCAACCAACGGTGGCGGAAGGGTTCAAAAGAAGATTCCACTGTGAGTATAACGACAGTAGAGGGAAACAGACACAGACACGTATATCACTGATATATGAATATGACTTACAGAAGTATACTTCGGAGGAGGAAGGGGAAAAGGCGGCGGCGACGATAGTGGGTCTGTCTTTCTTCTTCGACGGCGACGGTGGGCGGAGAGAACATGCAATCGCCTATCCGACAAAGAGAGAGAACGGAACGGACTTGGGTTTGCGAAAGTGAAATGTGAAAGTGAAACCCTGATTTTGGGTTTCTCACTTTCGATTATGGCCGGTTAACTTTGGTTAAACCCAATTACAACAAACATTAGAATTTCCTCGACCGGTTCTAAGCAAAAACCGGAATTGATGTACAAAGTCTACTCGTGAAGTCTACAAATTGAACTTTTAATGAGAAATTTATTCGCCCAAAATATTTCGTTTCCCGCCCTAATAATTTCGTTTCCCACTCGTTTTTTGAATAAAAGACTTCATAGCAAAGTCTAACTATGAAGTCTACCGATGAAGTCTGACTTACCCTAAACCCTAAATCGAATTTTTGAGATCAAAGCTATAGAAAACATCAATTATGAATATATAATCACAATTTACATTATAAACTATAAATTCATTAGCTTTAAATCGTTAAACAAACCGCAAACAATTTTTTATGTCAAAATTCTCTAAACCCTAACAATCATACTCATAAACCTATACATTGTACCTCAAACACTAAGCTTGATGATTGGTTTACTCATGAAACTTATAAACTGATTAATTTCCATGAAAATTTATTTTACATAGATAGGATTTGTCTTCATTTAGATTATTTATAATTTTTTTAAGCCTAAATATTTTTTTATAGATTTTAAACTTTAAATTTAAGATTTTGTTATTTGGTAGACTTCTTCAGTAGACTTCACACAATATTTTTTGGATTATACCATAATTTGTATTACCGATTTTAAATTGATCAATTTATATGCAAATTTATTTTTCATGGATAGTACTTGTCTTTTTTAAACTTATGTGTAAATACCTTCATCAAAATATTTTTAAAAGATTTCAAACTTTAAATTTACGATTTTGCTATATATTAGACTTCGGGAGTAGACTTCACGCAGTTCT